GACATTTTAAAGCTCAAAAATCGCTAAATTTGGTGCCCCATGTTATGTCAATGGGAAAAAAGATTTTTTTGAAGTGTAAAATACGAGATATAGACTAAGTACAGCTTAAAATAATGAAAGCCTATGTAAGAAGGGGACCTCGAAGGCTACCTAACTTCAAAATTTGGACACCAAAATCCCTAGGTCAAAATCTAGGTCAAATTCATAGTTTTTCCTTATTTTTGCGATTCGGACACTATATTTAAATGATTTGCTTCAAAATTTTGTATACAGGTAGGAGAGAGTGTGCTAATAGTGTTAGCTTTTTGCCGTCAGAAAGTATTTCGACCCACTTTTGAGATATGGTGTCCGAAAAGTAGGTCAAAATAAAAAGTTCTCAAAATTTAACATATGAGTTAGGAATTAAGAGTAGAATTTTCTCAGGAATCCGAGTCTGCAAACCAAATTTCGATCCGACTTCCGGTTCAAAAGTTATGGCGTTTTGAAATTTCGAGAAAAATCGATCTGATCGTATCCTGATAAAAAGTCAAGAGTAGAGAAGGAAATATTGAAAAATGCATCCATCCTTCCTTTGTGATCCTATTGTATCCTTCTTATCTACCTTTCCTTCGTATCCTCTCCTTCCTATCCTTCCTATTCTATTCCTTCTTCCTATTCTATTCTATCATTCTTTCCTATTCTATCCTATCGTCCCTTCCTATTCTAGCCTATCCTTCCTTCCTTTTTCATCCATCCATCCATCCATCTTTTTCTGGATGACTCAGCTTATTTTGGATGACTCGGCTTATTCTGGATGACTCGGCTAAAAAAAAGTCTAGATCTGGAGTCTGAAATTGAACTTCGTTCAATTTCCAAAGTCTAGTTATTATTATTCTTTGGGAGTTTTTTCAATAACTATTAGGTATTCAGTAAGGACCATAATTCATTTTATTTAGGTTCAGTATCTAGTTGGTGGGAAATTGGGTCAAGTTTTTATCTAGGTCAAAGGTCAAGAACTAGGTCAAATCCAGTACTTTGTCACTTTTTTCGATTTTCTCGGTTGTCCTTCAATATTTTCGATCCGGGTTTTTTTCATTGTGTTCCTTATAAAAAAGTAGGAAACCTAGGATCGATTCAGTTTGTTGATATCTCAAACCGATTTCGAGATATCAGTGTCCGAAAACGAGGTCCAAAAAAAAATTCTCCGAATCAAATTGCCAGGATATTAGTCTTATAGGAAATTTTCTCAGGATTCCGAATCTGAAAACGAAATTTAGATCAGACTTCCGGTTCTGAAGTAATGGCGTTTTGAAAGCTCAAAAATCGCTAAATTTTGAGCCCATGTTAAGTCAGTGGGAAAAAAGATTTTTTTTGAAGTGAAAAATACGAAATATAGACTGAGTTCAGCTAAATATAATGAAAGCTTTTAAAAGAATGGGACCTCAAAAGCCATCTAGCTTTAAAATTTGGACATCAAAATGCCTAGGTCAAAATCTAGGTCAAATTCAAAGTTTTTTCTTATTTTTGCGATTCTGACACTACAGATTAATTATTTCTTCGAAATTTTGTATACATGTAGCCAAGAGTGTGCTTATAGTGTAAGCCTTTTGCCGTCAGAAAGTATTTTGCCCCACTTTTGAGATATGGTGTCCGTAAAGTAGGTCAAAATAAAAAGTTCTCCAAATTTTACGTTTGAGTTATGAATTAAGAATAGAATTATCTCAGAAATCCGAATCTGCAAACCAAATTTCGATCCGACTTCCGGTTCCGAAGTTATGGCGTGTCCAAAAAGTAGGTCAAAATAAAAATTCGCCAAATTTAATGTATGAGTTATGAATTAGGGGAAGAATTTTGTCAGAAATCCAAATCTTTAAATCAAATTTAGATCCGACTTCCGGTTTGGAAGTTATGGCGTTTTGAAATTTCGAAAAATCGATCTGATGGTATCCTGATAGAAAGTCAAGAGTAGAGAAGAAAATATTGAAAAGATCATCCATCCTTCCTATCTGATCCTATCCTATCCTTCCTTCGTATCCTTTCCTTCCTATCCTTCCTATCCTCTCCTATCATATCCTTTCTTCCTATTCTGTTCTATCCTATCCTTCTTTCTTATTCTATCCTATCGTTCCTTCCCATTCTATCCTATCCTACCTTCCTGTTTTATCCATCCATCTTATTCTGGATGACTCAGCTTATTCTGGATGACTCGGCTTATTTTAGATGACTGGGCTTAAAAAAGTCTGGATCTGGAGTCTGAAATTGAACTTCGTTCAATTTCCCAAGTCTAGTTGTTTTATTTAGTATTGCATTTTATTGTTCTGAGCTTTTTAACAAAATCTCTTGAAGTTTCTCTGTTTTTGACCATAGACAAATAAAAAGGAAGTTCTTTTTTATGTGGAGATACTTGTTAAAATGTTAAATGACTGTAATATTTGTAAACATGATATCTTGCAGTTGTCATCATTTTATTCTTTACTGTCTATTAAACATGATTTTAACAACATCGTTTTGTTCTCATATACCATTTCATTTGGCGTTCACAGTAGTCTGTATTTTTTCTTAAAAAGTGTGAATAATATGCGTGGAAGTGGCCTGTTAAATAGCTAGGTAATTGTGCCCTACTCTACCCCACAGCTGGGAAATGTATCAGAATTTTGACATCTTGAATATTTACATCTCTGATCTGCAGCTCTATCTCCTAGGTTGAACACATATCATTTTCTTCTTATATCTATTCCCATTGGATTCAACAATTTATGTGCCACTTAATCAGATTTATGAGGGAAATATAACCTGGTCGATTTATGAAACATCAATAGTAGAAAAGGTGTGAATCGTGATATACGAGAAAATATGGAATATTTTGTTAGGGAAGCAGTATCTTTCCAGACATACCTGTTGCAGACATCTTTTTACACCAACACTCATTTACCTGTTTTCGCTCATTGCAATATTTTTAGTAGTTGCAACATAAAAAGTTTCAATGATTTTGCCTCACCTATGGTGTGAAAGGTGAGAGACAAGAGTGTGTATATAACTTGAGGCCATACACTAGATTGATTGTAATTATATTTCTTCATTGTGCGAATGTTTACTTTAGAATTGGTAAGCGCCAATAATATTTTTAATTTCTAGTTTATACCAAATTCAAACTGTAGTTGTCTCTGTTGAAAAGAGTACTACTGAAAGGATTGATGTCATTTAATTCAGATAGTACTTAAGAAATCTTGTTCTATATTGAGGGAAACTTAATTGTGAGTTATTTGTAAATAAACTATCATGGGACTAAATGGTCTCATCACGCTAGGCCTCTTTTTTACATTCATAATTCAATTTACAAAACATTAATTAAGTTATACATGTTTATAAGGATGCAGGCTCAATAAGAAAATCCTTGCTAGTGGCCTTTCCCTTGCAATCATTTTTAGTTGCAAAAAATCATTCATGTGGTTCTTGCTCTGGTTCTTTTGATTCATCGTTTGCAGCTTTGAGGAAGAGTTGTGTTGAAGCATCCTTGCCAACTGTTGTTTTAGTACATCTGTGTTATCATGGATGAAGAATCATATTCTGCTTGGCTTTTGGTCATGTGTTCACTTGGGAATCATGTTACATGGTGCAAGAGGAGGCCTTGGGACTTAGGGAGTAACCTATTGGAATATTCTTGGGGTGCAAAGATCTGTGAAATTCTTTTCAAATACTCTGGGGCTCCCTGAAGGCAGGGTCTCTCTTCTCTGCATATCTCTGCATGTGTTACAGACTAAAGCAGGTGGTCTTTTAATTTAAGATCCTGAATCTTTCTAACAACCTTTTAAGACTCCCAGCAGTGTCTTAAATTTATAGAATTTATTCAATACACTCTCAGTTATGAAAGTCACATCTACTGCAATGCTTCAAGAACTGCTTTCTCTTCTAAATTGATAACATCCTTGTTATGATATTTAACATTTTAATAGTGAGAAAAATTGACGTGTTTTTTGCTAATTGAAGAAAACATTCTTCTATTAAATATTTATTTACTGTGACGATAATTCCTGTTTTGTATATAATTTCATGCTTGAAATTACTGATTTTGTGGTATTTTGCAAGAGCTGTCACCTGATACCATTGTAGACTATAGAATAATGTTTAGCCACTTCACACTCTAAAGTGTTGCAAAGTTAAGTATCATACAAGCATAACTTTAATCATTAAGACTCTCAAAGAAAGCCAGAAAGTATTGTTTTCAAAATTATTGGATTATTGGTTCTGCCGGATTACTTAGCACTACTGTGTGGATAAGGCGTCACTTGTTACAAGTGTTAAACAAAGTAAACAATTTGATCTAACAATACGACATGATATTTGAAGAAAATGTTTGTCACGGTATTTGAAGAACTTTCTTTGATTTCACTAAGTTCTCACATACCTTAGATTTCGATAAGTGGGTAAGCTAGTGTGACATTCACATATGATTGAATATATATTTTTGTTCTTTACAGGGTTTTTAATATACTACTTGGAGGGCCATAATTGCACTTTTGAAAAAAATGTTATTACAGTGTCTTACAATTGACTACACTAAATTGCAAAAAATATATAACTTTATTTATATTTTGTTGAACCTAGAAAACATCAGAAATTGCCGTCATTTATGTCATGGCATGATATTTACAAGTAAGTGAATGGAGATTCATTTTTGTCAAAACATATTAACTCATAATTTCTGGAAAATTTACAGCATGCATTTGCTATTTTGACACTCCAAGTAGTACTAAAGGACATTTGCCATATTAAGTTTCATACATTTAATTTCAAATGCTATTTTTGATCATTAATAGTTTGTATTATCTTAGGATTTGGGCAATTAGCGATGATTTGTCATGAATTGGTGCATGCATGGTGGTTTCAGACAATTCAACATGGAGAAGGCTAGACCAATTTATTATAGAGATGACTGTTGTAGATATTGTGAATTCAGTCTGATAGCCAGTCTTATTAGTCATATTCCATGCCCTGCATTGATATAAGAGCTATAATTTCAGATTGCCGATAGTTGAAAAAATGAAGCATCGAAACTGGCGATAGCATGTTGTCCAAGATGGATTCTACTCACTACCTGACGCGACTTACTCGATTACTCACCATACTCACCATATTTGTGACGCTAGGGACTTCATCTGTGATCATCACAAACAATGCTATCACAGTAAAGATAGGAAGGGCCGTGTTTATCGACCCGAAAGATTTGACTTTTACTCCCACTGACACGTCAACTGTGTGTAAAGTTCGAGTTGTGACAAATGACCCCATCACGCAGAAAGTTGGCCGTATTCATCCACAGGTAAAATATATATTTATCATAATTATGTTTGAGATAAAATTTGTAGGAATAGGTAAAACGGTATGCCCTCAAATTCAATATGATTTAGAGGTTTACTTAGGTGTGTATCAGATTGTTTCGAGTGAAAACTAAAGATATAAAACATATTTCCTTGAAATGATAAACCTTGACATCATTATGTTAAATTACCTATTTAGATGCTTAAACAAAATAATGCCCATTCAAATTCTTTGACATAATGATGTATTATATCCACAATTGAATTTTTGATGTTTTTACATGTAAAATATATTTCCATGTCATAATAGTTCTAATTGGTTCTGAATTTCTATAATAAATAATCGCACTGTGTTTCTTAGATGTAAAATTACCATTTTCAATATCACCTCAATGTCAAATCAATACCCCTCAAATGTCATCTTGAGCCCTATGCTTTGATACTTATGAAATAGATGAAAGGGAATACATTGTAAATCAGCATGTAAACTGTAATACGATATATTTTACAGAACTTTTCTTGGGTTAATTTTTGTTATTGAGGACTCTGAATGATAAAGTTGATCAAGAAAAATGAAGTTTAAATTGGGAGCAATAGTTATACAGATTTATAAATTGAGAACCTGCTCTCAATTTGGATCGTTTTCTAAAATAGAATCCTTCCATGAAGTTTTCTAATCAATTGGATAGTTTTATATGAATAGGAAAATATAAATAATTTAACTCTAATAAAACACCAGATAGATAATCAGGATAGTAAACATTACATAAGATTAGTCTGTCACATCTAAGCTTATCAGATCTAGAAATTATTGATAAATATATGGAAAACAAATTGTTTTAATTAAACGTTCTCTGCTATTAGTTAGGGGCTACAAATCTTTTAGATTGAAGTGCCATCTTAGCTATTAACAAAAAGACCTATTGATCTTGCACTTTCCAGCTTCATTAATGAAATTCACATTTTAGTTATTGACATAGCGTTTGATTTATAACAAGAATATTTGATAGTTGTCCAGGAATAGAAGATCGCATCAAAGTAATACAATTTGTAGATCTGATATGTCATTTCCCTGGTTGGTGTGTGATATAATATGCTAAAAGCTTCATTTATGACTACAGGAGGTGAATGCCATAAAAAAGATAAAATGAACTTATATGCTAATATACTCAGGGGCATTTGAACTGATGTAAGTTCGTTGGAAAATTAGAATGCAGGTTAGATTCTGAAACCTGACACTCAGCTTTCCAATGGTGTATTGGAACCTTAGTAAGAAGAGGTAATTTAAAAATCACTAAGGAGCGCGCTTAGAGGCTCTATTTTGCTCAAGTATAATGCTTTTTTTATTTAAAAAATTAGACACATTGTCCACGTTTTAATTTTTCATCCAAAATCCCTCAAATATTTTAAAAATAGAGAAAACTATTTTAGAGCAACAATTTGAGCCTGTATTTTGAAAGTGTGGGAATATTTTTACAGGTGTGATATGTTAGAAGAAATTCAGTTATTTGAAGTGCAAGCATTCAAGTGAGCTAATTTTTGTATGGTGATATATCTAGATATCTGTAGGGTGCCACCTACATGCTGGGTAAAATATGACATGTGGAACACGGACTGCAAATAAAATATTGGGCTTGAAGAGTTTTTAATTCGTTTTTATTACAGTTTATATTTTTGAAACACACACAAAGGTCAAGTTAACATTTCAAAAACAGCTTTAATGCAAAACAAGAAAATGCAACAGTTTCTCATTGTCAAGTTAGATTTTTGAAAACCCCCAGTAACCTGACCCGAATTCACGAGGCATCAAGTGCCTTAGGGCCATGGTTTATCAATTTATATACATTTTTTCAAAGTATATATAATGGGTTCTGTATGAATGAAATGTACCTTGGTGTTATGGTCCTAGATTGTCATAATGGGACTTGAATGAAACTTAGTTGGGGAGGGGGGGGGTAATAAACATTGTTTCTTCTTGGATTATGTTTTTTGGATAGTTGGGGTTTGTTTTCCTTATGACTGGTGTACATTTCGATGTTTTCTTTTTCTTCTTTGATTCTGTAACAATTTTTGGTTCTTTATCTTTGGCGCCTGTGCGTACATATTTGTTTTGTTCTTGACTATGTGAATGATGTCACATATCATGCACACCCAATTCAAAGAATTTCATCATTGAAAAAGTGACATGTTATGAAGAGTTCTTTAATATTTGTTTGAAAATGACATACAGTTGGGTTAATATTGTGAAGACTGGGTTGTTTGTGGCATATGTTGCTGACATGTAGAATATGCTGGCATTCTTAAATGACAGTTCTCAATTTGGAATTAATTTTTATGTTGTCACTACTGAAGTTTTATGATAACATTAAGATGTAGTTGGGTTGAGAGGGAAATCTTGTGTAGCGTACAGTCTAACAGACATCTCCAAGAATATATATCCAAATAGGGAATTTACCAATGTAATTTTATTGAAGAGTCACCCTATAACATAAAACATTTCTTGAATCTATGCAAAAAACTGTTTTAACAATTACAATCATATAAGTCAGGAGGATGTTACCTTTCATAGATTGTACTGACCTTTAAAAAATGGATGATTTTGGTGATTTTTAGTGTTCAGTTATCAAAATCACATATAAATACTGGCATTATGATGGTCTGTGCACATTGGAAAATGCACTTGGGTGGTCATGCCAATTTCATGTTTATTTCTCACATAATCCAAAGTAAGTTGTTTGTTTGTTGTCTGTTTATTCTGTTCCTCATTGACTTCTCTTTTTCCACTCTCCACAATCTTTTTCATGTATACTTATTATTGTTTAGGTTTTAGTCCATCTATTTGATGTATTGTTTGTGATTGTGGGACATTTACAACAAATAGACCAGAATTTTTGTGAGGAAAATGATACTTTAATTAGTAGAATGTCAGTTTGTGACACCTCCTGAAGTACATTTTAATAAGCAGTATTCTTCAACTGTCACATACATATCAATCTTCTTAGTTTTATACCCATCTCTTAAGTTATCAGTCAGTGTGAGTCGGAAAGGGAAACTTTTTCTCAATAATATTCAAAGAATTTCTCATTGGCCAGCCTTTAAACCCTCTACTACCCTCAAAATGAATCCACACATGAAAATTTACAATATCAATGTTCACGAACAGAAATCTGGGAATAATCAAAATTTTCTATACCCTTCCCCAAATATAAGTAATTACTGTTTTACAGACATCAATATTTTGAACCAACTTCTAAAGAAAAATCATCCACTTGTACTGTCAACAACTGTTATTTGCTTTGAAGCAAATCTGAGTAAATTGTGTCCCTAAAGAGAATTCCTTTCAACTATAACCATACTCAAGAATCCCATAGAAAATTCTCTGTTAACAGATATTTATACTTAATATGCTTAAGTTATAAGCTTTCTAGAATAATTTAGTCTATATATCCATAGAAATAGGTTTGTTAAAGATTCACTGTTTCTGAATCCTAAGGTCTCTTGGCGGAAATAGGAAAATCCTCAAATTCATTATGAGTGAAAAATGACTGTTTTATGCACCTCTTGTGAACCATAAGTTCAACTTTGGTGTCCTTAATGTTACTGTTAGATCTAGAGGAAACATTTTACAATTGATTTTTTACAATTCATTTGAGAGTCTCTTGTGTATTTCGAGCTTTATGTCCCATTTTCGTCTCCTTTCATTTTTCTCCTCTGAGTTTCTTTATTTGAATTTCCAACATTGAATCAATCTAATCTGTTCTCTGAATTCATTCCTTAAAGTCAATAACATGTACTCAATAGCAAAGTGTAAATAATTTACATGAATGGTTTGTATGGACGTTAATGTTAATTTATCCCAAATCTTATTGGTTGTTGCCTCCATTGGCTTGGAGTGTCCCCTGTTCGGTTGCAGAATGATCTGCAGAATGTTGAATAAAAGGAATGATTAGTTGTCTGGATGAAATTGATCTTTTGTCTCTTGTTTTAATTTTGCAGTCATCAACCATAATGTAATATGTATTATATGCACATTCTGTTCTCTCAATATTTGTATCAGTCTGAACGACATCAGACATGTACTCCGAATCTTTTAGTACATGTGTAAATGTGTTGGGTACATGCAAGTGTCAGGAGAAAGGGCTGAGAAAGAAAATACATCAATTATTTAGTTCATTGTGTCACCACCAGAAGTGGTGATATATACATATTATTATAGTCTCCAACTTTTTTGTGGATGGTCTTTGGTGGAGGTGTCTGGCATCCGGCATTTGGCATTCAGTGGTTTTTGTTAGGCAATCCGCATCTGTAACTAATGGCAGGTGGTGACATTTTGCATGTTAGTGCCTTGTTTGAACTTGTTCTAACTTGAACCAATTTTTCATGAGACACATTGAGCTAGCATTGAGTGTTATATAAGAAATCTAATGTCAAAATAGTTGATTGGTTTTGAATAAACTTAAGTATTTAGCTATACGTAAAATACAAACTGAAAAAGGCTAAGAGCCTCATCAATAAGACGTCTTTCCATATTTGGTTTCATAATGTACTTGCACTTCTTATAAATTTTGATACAGTATATGCCCTGATTATGTCACCACCAAGAAGGGAATTGTTATGGTCTGTGTTTTTTTTGTGGCAGCCGTTGTTGCTTGGCGATCGATGGGCAGCGGGCGGTGGGCGGCAGTTGGCATCTGTAAGAAATTCTTAAAACTTTCAATAACTTAACAATTCTATTTAGACTGACTTCAATTTTTCCAAATTATCTACAAGTTTTCAAAAGTTCAAATCTGACATTAAATTTAAGATTTGACCTTTTCAAGGTAAAAAAAGTCAAAAAGGACCAAAAAGGTCATTTTTCAACTTGCTTCAAATTGACCAATTCTTTTTCAAAATCATCTACAAGTTCTTAAAAGTTCAAATCTGAATATAGATATGACCTCCAATGACATTCTCAAGGTCAATAAAGATTTGACCTTCAATGACATTCTCAAGATCAAATAAAGGTCAAAAAGGTATTTTTTCAACTTGCTTCAAATTGATCAATTTCTTTTCAAAATCATGTACAAGTTCTTAAAAGTTCAAATCTGAATATAGATTTGACCTTCAATGACATTCTCAAGATCAAAAAAGATTTGACCTTCAATGACCTTCTCAAGGTCAAGCAGGTCTTTCTCAACTTGCTTCAAATTGACCAATTTTTTTTCAAAATCATCTACAAGTTCTCAGAAGTTGAAAAATGAGATTTCACCTTCAATGAAAAAAAAGTATTTTTTTCAACTTGCTTCAAAATCATCTACAGAGTTCTCAGAAATTCAAATCTGATTTAAGATTGAACTAATAATATTGTGAGCAACTAGGTGGTGACATTTTGTCATGCCAATGCCTTGTTGCAAGTAGCCATAAAAATATATTATTTCTGAAAGGATTTTTTAGCAGATCATGAATCTAAATCAGTGTCCCATTATGAGAATAATCAGAACATAAACGGAAATATTGCAGAGAATGTTTTCCCAAAGGAGAGCCTTTAGTCTATAATTGGTTTAACATATGAAGCTCTAGGACCCTCTTTGTTCTTTATTGAATTAGACAGAGTGCAATTATAGTTAATGAGTTTATAATAACAATATATTGACCATTTATATTCAGTATTGAAATTATATGTGTAATAAGAAACAGTATTGTCAATTTTATTGATGAATAACAAATTGACACAGAAAAACAATATTTCAGGTGCTCTAAATCCTAAATGATGTTATCAATGTTTAAACACAATAATACATATTAATTATTCCCACTTTTCTTATTTCAGATGTTTGATTGTCAGTTTGGCCCCCAGACAGTAGAATATCGTCACTCTGGGAATCCACACCTTACAAAGGACACTGTCAGACTTGAAGTTATTCACACAACATCCACTGGATCCAGTATTGAAACCTTCCTCATTGAAGTGAACATACTGAAGGCTCCATATAATGTGTTTGTGATCGATCCTCGCTTTAAACCATTGACAGTTGACAATTTTTATGGGACATCAAACCCAATCGATTCGTCAGTTGTGAGGTTTAATTATGACACTCGTAGCGATGTCTCATGTCGAGTGATGTACTCAAGGTTTATAACGAACTACCCCATGCAAGGTCAACTTGTATTAGGAACACAGAAGAGGATAACTGACTCATTTAAGAAAAACTGTAGGGATTTCCTATTTAAAGGGTATCAGTATGAGCATTTAGCGCCCCCTACCCCAGATGTTGACTATATTCCCCTTACTGTAGAGGTTCATGACCCATCAGTGTCGAGTGAACCCATAATAGAACAATACTTCCTTCCTGTACGTATACAGGGTGCATTCCCTAATGTTATGCCCAAAGCCTCATATGTGAACTCCTATATAATGGATGTGGATGAATTCCAAGTGACAACCATTGACCCAAAGGTGATTTCCGCTAAAGACTCTGAAACGCCTGAAGAAAAGCTGGTGTTTAATTTGAGTAAACCATTTGGTCCTGGTGAGGGCCACTTGGTCCATGACACAGACCATTCTACCCCAATCTTCTCCTTTACACAAGAAGAACTGATGAATAACAATATAGCTTACAAGCCACCTAATCAGAGATACACAGAACGTAAGGACTACTCAGTTGAGCTTACTGTATATGACTCAAGCTTTACTAGTAGTGAACCCATTACACTTCATGTAGCAGTGCACCCTTCAAACTCTCATGTTCCTCATGTTTTAATCAACAAACCCCTCATTATAGTTGAAGGACAATCACAGATGGTTTCTCAAGATACAATACAACTAGAGAAGGACACTGTTATTCTGTCTGTCAAGGGAGGTCTCAACCATGGTCAGCTGACAGTGAATGGCCAACCAGCTATGAGATTCACTGCAGGGAATATTAGAGCAAGGGAGGTATTCTATACCCATGATGGAAGTGACACCCTCACTGATCATATTGCACTGAGAATCACTGATGGCAATGATGTTTTACATGAGACTATCCATGTGACAATCCTCCCCCTGGATGACAGTCCACCATATGTGTTAAAGAACCTTGGTCTTAAGCTTAAGGCATCAAACACGGCACCCATCTCCCCAAATATTCTCTCAGCTCGTGATCTTGACTCAGAGGATTGTGAGATCAAGTTCATCATCACAAGGCCACCAAGATTTGGCGAAATTCAGAAAACTTACAGACCAATGACTGTGGGAAGACACAACTCTGACTTCACACAGGATGACTTAAATAATGGCTACATATATTACAAGCACTATGGCGATGAGGAATACAAAGATAACATCTTGTTTAAACTCCAAGATCACGCGGATCCTCCTAACGAATCCAATGAGTATATGTTCAAAATTGAAATAATTCCAATCAATGATAAGCCACCAATGAATGTGCCAGATATGTCCCAACAAATCATTGTGAAAGAAACTGACGTGGCTACTATAAGAAAGAAAGATTTGGAGTACACTGATGTTGAATCTGATCCGAGTGACTTGGTCTATACAGTGGTAACACAGCCATATTATCTGGACACTAGAGAAACCATTGATGGTGGTAGACTGATCTACATAGCAAACACTAAAGTCCCTGTGATCAAAAACAACAGCATACCACCTGTGTATTTCTTTACACAGAGGGAAATCAACCAAGGTAAAATAGCATATATGCCACCTTTAGAAGACATTGGCCCAAACCCTAAAAGAGTTCGTTTTGAGTATGCAGTTTCTGATCAAGCTGATAATCGCATCATCGAACAAGTGTTTGATATCATAATCAAACCAGTGAACAATCAACCTCCAGATATGTCTACCCAAAAACTCATCTCAAGGGAAGGCGGCAGTGTGAGAATAACAACCAATGAAATCTCTGCATTTGATGTAGACACTCCCCTGGCAGAACTAATCTTTAAACTCGAGTTCACTCCCCAACATGGCCAGATTACAATGGGGAACAGGCCTCTGGAGGAGGGAGAGCAATTCAGTCTCATAGACCTGATGGATCAAAAGCAAAGGTAACAAATGTTAACTATGTTATATTTCAAATTATTAATTAAAACACTTAATTGTTCTTTTAGAGTAGGTTTATGTTCAGCATTTCATTGAATTATATTATTTGTTAAATTCCTTGACTGAGGATATTAGAAATTTCAAAAATGTTCTCTATTGCATAAGAAAATTATGGATACAGGGTGACATATATGACATTGTTACTGTTAATTATGATTTGTGCAAGTTTTTCAGGGTATGATATTCCTATCACCCTGCTTCTCTGTTGAGGCAACAACATAATCAACATATACTGCTAAAATAGCTGTGAATACGATTACATACAAACCCAAGCAGCTTAAAAACATGGATATGAATAAATTGATAACATTAACTGCTGGGAGAGCTAAACAACTTCAATAAATTTCACAAGAAATATACCCATGTGTTTAAATATGGAAAGTCGAAAAATATGATAGTTGGAAAGGTTCAAGGTAGGTTACCAAGAGAGTGTGAGAAAAGTTTGAAATACATGCAATTATATTTAGGTATCCTTGGATTTCTTCACGGCAATTTCCCACTGGGAACAGCAGTTGTCATAGAAGGGTAAAAACAAAAATCATGGATTTTCTTTCAATATTGGGGATTGTTTTTGTTTTTCTGATAAAACTTTGCTTTTTCATATCTATTTAGGTGATTATATTTATGTAATGATATACAGTGATATTGGATGTATAATTTGTAAAGAATAATATTGGACCAATTATATTATTTTAGAGAGGGCCCGAGACCGCTTGGTAATCTATCAATCTCTTTACTAATTAATATATCTCAGGTTTATCGCACTCTGTGACAGATTATAATTGATCGCTTTCAGTTAACCTTTTTCTTAAAGCAATATCCATGGAGAATTCCAAATGCTTTAGATGGTTTCTACAGATACAGAGTTTAAAAATGAATTTATGACAAATCTTTTATGTGCTTAAAATGGTAGAAACTTTCTTCATTTATCAACCTAAATGATTAACATTTGATTGATTTGTGTTACATGGTGTTAACTTAAGAATCAGTCATAGGGAATGACAAAATTCCATGCAATTTGTACCCAAAGAATGAGTTTTACACCATCAAAACTGTCATAGAATTTGTCAATTCCTCAAGATGAATGATAAACCAAAAAGATTCTGAAATTCCTTACATGATTTGACATTTTTATCGCACTTTGAAAAAGTGCTATATTGCCGTCGTCTTGTGCTGTTGGGCGGGCGTGCGGGCGTGCGGGCGTGCGGGCGGGCGGGACATAAACCAAATCTTGTCATCAAATTTCCAGGATAACTGCTTACCTGTTCAACTTGAAATTTTTACAGATGCAAAAGCAGACTAGTACCAAGATCTGATTAGGTTAAGGGCATGCTGGGTAAGCTACGTGGCGGCCATTTTGAATTTTTCAACAAATCTTGTCATCAAAATTCCAGGAAAACCACTTATCCGTTCAACTTGAAATTTTTACAGATGCAAGAGCAGACTATTGCCAAGATCTGATTAGGTTTTGGGTATGCTGGCTGAATTACATGGTGGCCATTTTGAATTTTTCAATTTGGCGGCCATTTTGAATTTTTCAACTTGCTCCAAATTGACCAAATTTTTTTTTTAAAAACATCTACAAGTTCTCAGAAGTTCAAATCTGACCTTAGATTTCAGATTTGACCTTTCATTCACCTTCAGTGACCTTGAAAAGGTCAAAAAAGTTGATTTTCTAAATTGATATTTTGGATTTAAATTTAGGTCAGCTTAATTACAAAACACCTACTGTGGTCTGAAAAAGTTAAATTTTCAAGGTCGAAGGTCAAGGTCATTAAACTAGGTCACAAATGATGTTATCCAAGTTTCTCAAAGTTTGAGACTACAAATCAATTCTTGTCATCAAAATTCCAAGAAACCGCTAACCTGTTCAACTTGAAATTTTTACACATTCAGACTAGTGCCAAGATCTGATTAGGTTTAGGGCATGCTGGGTAAACTACGTGGTGGCCATTTTTAATTTTTCAACAAATCTTTTCATCAAAATTCCAGGAAAACCACTTATCCGTTCAACTTGAAATTTTTACAGATGCAAGAGCAGACTATTGCCAAGATCTGATTAGGTTTTGGGTATGCTGGCTGAATTACATGGTGGCCATTTTGAATTTTTCAATTTGGCGGCCATTTTGAATTTTTCAACTTGCTCCAAATTGACCAATTTTTTTTTAAAAACATCTACAAGTTCTCAGAAGTTCAAATCTGACCTTAGATTTCAGATTTGACCTTTCATTCACCTTCAGTGACCTTGAAAAGGTCAAAATAGTTGATTTTCTAAATTGATATTTTGGATTTAAATTTAGATCAGCTTAATTACAAAACACCTACTGCATGAGGTCTGAAAAAGTTAAATTTTCAAGGTCGAAGGTCAAGGTCATTAAACTAGGTCACAAATGATGTTATCTAAGTTTCTCAAAGTTCCAGACTACAAATCAATTCTTGTCATCAAAATTCCAAGAAAACCGCTAACCTGTTCAACTTGAAATTTTTACACATGCAATAGCAGACTAGTGCCAAGATCTGATTAGGTTTAGGGCATGCTGGGTAAACTACGTGGCGGCCATTTTTAATTTTTCAACAAATCTTGTCATCAAAATTCCAGGAAAACCACTTATCCGTTCAACTTGAAATTTTTACAGATGCAAGAGCAGACTATTGCCAAGATCTGATTAGGTTTTGGGTAGGCTGGCTGAATTACATGGTGGCCATTTTGAATTTTTCAATTTGGCGGCCATTTTGAATTTTTCAACTTGCTCCAAATTGACCAAATTTTTTTTTAAAAACATCTACAAGTTCTCAGAAGTTCAAATCTGACCTTAGATTTCAGATTTGACCTTTCATTCACCTTCAGTGACCTTGAAAAGGTCAAAAAAGTTGATTTTCTAAATTAATATTTTGGATTTAAATTTAGGTCAGCTTAATTACAAAACACCTACTGAGGTCTGAAAAAGTTAAATTTTCAAGGTCGAAGGTCATCAAATTAGGTCACAAACGATGTTATCTAAATTTTCCCAAAGTTCCAGACTACAAATAAATTCTTGTCATCAAAATTGCAGGGAAACCGCTAACCTTGTCAACTTGAAATGTTTACAGATGCAAGAGCAGACTAGTGCCAAGGTCTGATTAGGTTTTGGCCATGCTGGGTAAATTGCATGGTGGCCACTTTGCTCTTCAAAGTGCGATATTTATCACTGTGTGTCTTGTTTTCCTTCTTTCCTTGACTTTTACTTTTTATGAAAATCAAGAGGTTTAGTTCATTGATAGCATGAAGCTAAATAAATATTTACAGTTGGAAGCATAACATACACCCAAACAGAAGAATCCTAAATGCTATACACATTAGGGTCGATAAAGTAAAGAAGTTACCATAAAGTAAACTTTGTTTCAAAGAACACTCAAGATTTAACCAATTGACATGTAATCCACTGGGGGAAATTAGCTTTCAAATCTATAATGTGTTTTTGTAGGATAATTAGCGCATTAGTTTTTATATTGTTATAGTCTCCTATTTTTTTGTGAATAGTGTTTGTTGGTCGGCATTCAGCATCTGTAACAAATGGCAGGTCATGACACTTTGCATGTTAATGCCTTGTTTCTGCTTTGTGTTCACAAAATGTTAGCCTCTGTGTTCTTTGGTGATCAAGTATGGTGGATGTTGGTTGATTTCTTTTTATTCATTGAAATGTAAGATCCAATCTATTAAAGCAGATTTGGGGAGTACGATCCACATGTGACACCTTGCTGATAAAGGTATTATATTTGATATATGACTTAAGCTTCCCTATTTGTCAATGGCTTTAGCATATACAAATGGAAATCAATGCCCTCAAAAATGCCCCTCATTTCACATGATATTAATCTTACTTATTCTCTCAAAAATTGACAAATATTTATTTCATCTTTACCTAACAGGCTTAAAATGTGTTAATGATTACATAGTCAACTATTGTACTGTTAATTCCATGTTGCCCATATTGTATTTTATCTCAAGGCATTTGTACAGTATTACTTTTTGATGGGGTGGCAAATCAATGCAATCAATCAAACTATTCCCCAGACATTCAGTAATTGCTCCTAGGATATTAGATACTTCTTTTCTCACTCTAGGCCGATGTAATAGCCCAATATTTTGTCTAAATTCGAAATAATTGGCCTTTTTTGGCACAACATTTACTTTTATACCTCTATAAATCTGATCTCTCTGACAAAAGCTATTGCTTATATAAGTTGATTATCAGATTTCTTAGATGAAACTGTTGACTTTCGACAACAAAATCATATCTCAATCACAATTATTAAATGAAAGTCTTTGATTTTTTCATAAGTTTTTGAAGTTAGTTGATTTGATTTATAACCAGTGTCTATCTCAATTAATCATATTCACACATCTTCTTCATATTTTTTAATTCTATTCAAAAGATGAAGTGAAATGTGTATTTTCACTTGAGCTAACTTGTCACAAACAATTATTTACCACTTCATTTTATCCCAAGCAGATAATTTGATGAGCTTTAAAGATGAAAATTCAGGTTAAATATCCGAAAGGGAGATTGTAACAAACTTCAAACTTCTGCAGGATTAAATCTTGTCAGATCCAGGTGCAGTCAAGTCTACTGATGATATATTGTTAAAACATTCGTTGTTTGATGTGTTATTGCTTCCTTAATCTCCATGGTTTCAGGTGTGTTTTCATCCAATTAAATGTCACTTTGATAAATTAGTCTGTATTTGCAATCCCAAATGCAACAAATTACCACACCATGTAGAACAGTGCATCAATTGATTACTGCTATTTCTTTCACAATACCCCAAATGAAAATTTTAAATTGTTTTTATTCTTCAGCCAAATATCCTCTCATATCTGCCAGCTGTACTATACAGTACAATAAATTTAGCTTTCATATATAGTTTATATATATAGTTATAATTGGCAGAATAAATATAGCTTTCCAATCAAATCAGATGAAATATCAAATCATCTATCACATGTAAATCAGTATGATAAATTCCATAAATTTTGAAATAAATGTATATCATTGATATCACTGCGAATTATAAGACTGATATCAAATAAAATATCAAAGATGCATAATTTTAAAATCAACATACATTGATTTCACCAATTGGGGTTTAACAATAATACTATGATATTCTGCTTTTAGTTTCCGGTATTTTCATGATGGAAGTGAGTCAAAGATGGACATGTTTGGCCTGACAGTGTCTGATGGTATACACCAACTTTCCAAAGTCATCTCGATCCTCATTAAACCAATCAATGACCAGAAACCATGGTTACCTGAAGATCTCCAGAGTGAACTTACTGTCCTTGAGGGTGATGAAGTTGCTATAACGACAGATAATATCCTGGCGCATGATAACGATACTGAGCCAGAGTCACTTTCTTTCGTGATTGTACGTCATCCCATATATGGTGAAATTTTACATAAAAGTGGGGGAAGAATCAATCAGTTTTCTCTGAATGATGTTGAAGAGGAACTTGTTGTGTATAAACATAGAGGTGATGAAATTGGCCCTGAGAACCAAGAAGATTCCATGACAATAATGGTCACTGATCAAGCAGCAGGATACCTTGGAGCAAATCCATTATATGATCTAAACTTCCAAATTCTTCCAGTCAACAATCAAAGGCCAAACATTGTCCCTGGTCCTCCTATGTTTGTTAACGAAGGGGAAAAGGTGAAGATTACTGATGAGGATCTTAGTGCACTTGATAGGGACACCAAAGCTGGTGATCTTGTGTTCAAGATAACCAAACAACCAGAATGGGGCATAATTGAAAACTCTGCATTGAATGATATAGATGGCAAATCAGTGAGAGAGTTCCGAATGATTGATATTCTGAATGGTGAAATAAGCTATATACAGTCGAACCATACTGGTTTTGAGCCACAGAGGGACAGCTTTGATGTCTATGTCCATGATGGACAGCTCACTTCACCCATTGTCTCAATCAGCATCACAATAATACCTCAGAATGATGAAACTCCCGAGTTAGACGTTGAAAATCTGATCATCACAGAGGGCTCTGAGAAAATGATTGATCCTGGCATGATTAAAGTAAGAGATGATGACATCCCCAATCAAATCCTGACCCTATCTGTTGACACCACACCTCGACATGGGAAGCTTATGCTGATGCATGACCATGGGAGAGGTATGGTGGAGATGGCCCTTCATGACGTAGATCTTGAGGAACTACAGAAAGATGTCCATCTTGTCTATAAACACGATGGCTCTGAAAACTTCAATGATGTCTTTACGCTTAAGGTGACAGATGGAAAACATGAGGTCAAGAAATCTTCAACAGTGAGAGTTACGCCTATTAACGATGAAAAGCCTAAGGTCGTGAAAAACATGGGATTATACATACAACGTGGAGGTTCTGGCCTCATCTCAAACTCTGTTCTCCAGACAAATGATAATGACACTCCAGATAATGAGACATATATTATACTGACTGAGACTCCCAAAAGAGGTGTGCTGCAGTATAGAATGGATGCCATCCCTGCACTATTGAGAACAGGCGGTTATAACGAACCCGACACATTTTGGCGAGAAGTGAATGTTGGAACTAATTTTACCCAAGAGGATATTAACAGGAACCGCATTCGCTACACACTCACTAATCAAATAGAGGAAACCACATCGGACCAGTTCAGGTTTAAAGTGACTGATGGTAATAACTACACCCCTGATGAGTATTTTGACATTGAAATAATAAATTCAAGAAGAGGAGGCTTGGGGATGCACAGCAGGATCTTAAAGGTTAGAGAACGAGATACAGCTATCATATCAAATGCCTACCTAAGTGCTAGTGATGAGATTTCACCTTCAGAGCTAATAGAGTACTTTGTAACGAAACCTACCAGTCAGGGCTGGCTTTCATTTAATACTGAGCCTAGTAAATCTATTACCAACTTTACGCAGCAAGATATTCAAGCTGAGAAACTCATTTACACTCACAACAGCAAAGCTGATATTACAACTGACTTCTTTTACTTCCTAGTTAAGAACAGCCTCAATGAAAAACAGAATGGGACATTTTACATAGAAATTGAAACAGTTGATGAAGCCCAACCTAGCCTCATCACAAATGTTCCCCTTGTAGCTTACCAAGACACCTATACAGTAATCACTTCCTCTAATCTGGCTGTGAGTGATCCTGATAGTGATATCTCCCTGCTCTTCTATCACATCAACAGGCACACACATTTCGGAAAACTCTATAATAGAGGTATAATGGTCAAGGAAAATTTCACCCAGTATGACATTGATAATGGGTACATCACGTATAAAACAGATGATGAAAATGCGGATATGGACCATTTTGTATTCACTGTCAGTGATCCCAACAACAATGGATTCCTGAAGAATGGTACACTCCAACTGCGACCAGTCATGTTCAGCATACTCATTCACTCCATAAAGAACTTCCGCCCGATCATGCGTGTGAATAAAAAGCCAGATATGTTAGAGTCTATGCCACTGGGGAGGTTTGGCTACATTATAAGTAGTCGGTTCCTCCAGGCTGAGGATGCAGATACAAAGACAAGTAACTTACAGTATGTCATCACTAAGATGCCTCAGCATGGTGTTCTGGAGAATGTCATCTCTCGCAGACAGGTGAAGCGGAAATTCACCCAGAAGGACATTAATGATGGCAATATTGCTTATGTCATAAAGGATGGTGCAAAGGAAACCAACGATTCGTTCATCTTCAAGGTGCAAGATACCAAAAAGAATGTGCTTTTGAACCAGAAGTAAGTGAAGTTAGTTGTTTATTGTATATGTACTGGTAAAGTTAATTAAAGGTGTAAAATCTAATGAACACAGCAGGAATAACACCTTCGATCATCAATCATTTGGTCAAAATCTGATTAGACTTTCAAATTAGCCACTCCATCATTTGGAAGTTGTTATTTGCTCAGTTTACTGACCTTTGGGGATTTCATGACATTTTGATGGTTGTAATATTGGTATTATGAGTGGCTTTTATTGTTCATTTATTCAAATAGAGAATAGAAAATCCAATTTGTTTTTTGTAGGAAGACAAAATATGCATATTAGTGTATTTTCTCAGATTTATCAACCAGGGGGTCATTAACAGAACTTTCGCAAATTTACAAATTCGCAAGTCAATTGTTAATTTTACGAATTTTGTAAAAGTGCATTAACAGAACTTTCGTAAAGTTACGAATGATTCATGAAGTTACGAAAAAATGACGTCACATATGCTTTCGTTTGTAACTTTAATAGCACCTCAGACCCTTTCATAACTTTGCGAATGGCATATTTCTCATCCAATTCTTATGTAAGGTATATTGATTGGCAAAAAGAAATTGTTCTTTATATGCATGCTAAGTTTCAAGCTAAAATATCCACCTATTCTTACATGATAAGCAAATATGTTCCTGAGCTGGAAATCTTTGAAATCGCGGACTCAGGTTTAATCACAGCGCGCAATGATATCAAATGACATCATATTTTTTTTGTGCTAAATAATGATATAAGATGACGTCGTAAGTCATTCGTTACTTTTTAAATATTTACAATTTCATAAAGTTATGAATTACGAATTCGTAACTTTGCGAAAGTTCTGTTTATGACCCCCAGTATATTATTAGATTGGTAGTTGTGTTATTGTAAACTTGAACACTTTGGAAGCCCAGTTTGAACCTCATGTTTGGCCTTTGCCTTTGATTTTCCTATGCCTATGATATTCTTTACATTTATGATGAATAACATGCATGTTCTTAACATAACCACTCACTCCCAATTTTGTAATATCTGTTTTAGGTTTACATTGGAGTGGTCTTCCATCCAATTTATCAGTGCCACATACATGGTGTGCGAGAATATAGGTAGTCTGTCACTGGGGATAGTGCGCACAGGGGCCATGGACCAGACAGTGTTTGTAAGCCTCAAGACCAGAAGTATGACTGCCAAGAATGGGAGAGACTTTGAGCCAAGCAGAACTATACAGATACAGTTTGACCCTGGTAATTATGAGCTAAATGATCGGCAGGTTGAAATAAGCAGTGACTTGTGCAGATTGTCCACTAGTTGCTATAGTTATGCTAATGAAAGCCTTATATTATATCATATAGTTTTTTCTCTCTGTTAAACTTTCATAATGATATAAGTGCTGATATAGTTTTTGATATGGCCATTTTGAAAAGGAAGATGCAATATAGCGGAGTTCTCTGATTTGGGCCAGAACATTAAACAACTGGACGTATAAATACATATAAAGGCAGAATACATGGTCCTGACATTTGTTTTGACAGAATTGTTTTGTTTACAGGTGATGCTATGGTGAACTGGGATGTGACTATCATTGAAGATGACTTGGATGAAGAGAGTGAAAAGTTTAAAGTGTCATTAAAGGCACCTGTTAATGCAATGCTGGGCCAGAATGATAAGACAACTATTGAAATCATCAATGCTAAATATGGTATGAGAAATTATCATGGTTCTGTGCACAGGAATATATGCCAAGTACTAAAATAGTACTCATGGCATATTAGCGCGAGTGCTCTAAATGAACACCTATGACATGAGTACTGATTTTTTGCATGTTTTAGTACTAAATGAGTGCTCATATGATGAGTGATTAAATAGCTGTAATTACATTGATTTTTTAGCGCTAAATTGGTACTCATATCATGAATTAGTACTAGATTAGCACTCGTGACATGAGTGCTCATGAGCACACTTTTGCCAGAGTGCTAATTTACTACTAATTGCGTAATCGGCATATCTCCCTGTGTGTAGTTAAAGATTCTCGCAATCTTTATCCAATCAGCGTTTGCGAGTGTGTCGGCTCACGTATAAAAGGCGAATCCAACTCAAATCCATGCAGGGGTGTATGAGGTACTCAAATAGGAAAGAGCTCGTGAAATCTGAATTTATATGCACATGGTCAATGTTTACACATGTTTGGAGTTATTGAAGAAAATGTGATATGGGTGTGGTTCCGAATTTGAAGTCATTGCTGGAAAATATGATTTTAATACGTGAAATTATATCTATAAATACAGCACTAAAAATAACAGTACACGTGAAGTACATGTATGATTGTGTCAAGAAATGTTTGAAACCCTTACAGAAAATTCTGTCTGCATTTTGTCACCATTGCTCTTTCTTCCCGCATTCTAGTGCTGTTTGAATGAATATATTAATTAATGTATTTCTAACTAAAATATATCACATTTTTTTATAAACCACAAACATTTAGATCATAAAAAAAATATTCAATACTTGAGTGAGCACGATATGCAAGGGTTACTAAGTTGACACAGTAAATGACCACTGTTATTGTGTTAGCAAATATGTATTAGCAGAATACGCTGTGTGCATGGACTAACACCCCTCACTTTCATAGTGAAGTGACTAATTGGTTTATGTTTACGTTTTAATGTGTTTTGGGTTCCTTGTTACATCAAGGGGGGCCAGTAAAGTAGACTAACATGTTTGCATGGCAAATTTTGATCGAATATGTGAGACACTTTAAAGAAGTGTGTGTAGTTTAATGAAGTCAAGATAACTGGAATGTTAAGACATCTATACTGAGAGGAAGTCAAGCCAGAATAACACCTATAAATGAAGTAAAATTAGACACAATAACTCCAATATTAACTTCCAGATTATAAGTAAAGAAGAACTGGTATACCAAAAAGAGAAATATATGCTATATGACTATACAAAAATATACAAAAGCAGAAAGTTAATATTTACTATACCATGATGATTGTTTTTCTTTATACTCATATTGTTCTTAATATCATAGGTGAATGCCCAGAGTACATAGGTATGATCAGTAAGGACCATCCCCACCTCCCCATGCAGTTCATTCCTCATGCCCATGGCACCGTCAACAGCAAGACAAGCACCATCCTTCTCTCTGTGAGTACAATCACTTATACTATTCTCTATAATAGAAGGGGTTTACTAATATATATATCTTTTATTGACTCTTAGAATGTCATGGTATGACATATTAGTCAATCTAAGTAGTTAGAATACATGTATATTTGTTACAAGCACACTATTGATAGGTATATCTTACCTGTTACCAAATATGACATTTCAGATATTATTTACCTCATAGATGCTAAACACTAAAACAAACTTTGATTTAATTTCACTGACAATACATTACTTTCAATTGGCCAAATGTTAATATAATAGTTCACCCTGTTTTAAATTTTACTGACAAATAATTACATTGTATGTTCAGCGACAATACCAGTGTTAAAAATACTGAATATGACCTCTAATACAATAGATGTACTTCTATTGTATGAAGTACAGTTCTTATAATTCTTCATTTGATTTGATTTACTTTTCTGTAGATGACAATAAAGTATGAACTTGTGGTATGTACTTCATTCCATTGTCCAGAACACTACAGTCCTCTTTTGTATCCCCATCACAATTCTGTTGTTTTTGAATTTCACGTTTTCAACCACATGATGTTTTAATATTTTCTCACTGCTGCTCATTTGCTCATATAGTGTCCCACTCTTGGCTCACCCTGTATATACAATTATAATGCACACATCAAACCGATAATGACATTATGTAACACTTCTGTCAGTCTCTAACATGTATTAATAACATATTTATACTTTCCAGATGATAAATAAAACTATAACTGGTGATGATGACAATGGCAAAGAGAAAACAAATACAGATGGTTTCGAAAAGGAGGATGCAGAGATTAAGCAAGTTGGTGCAATTAACCCAGAACTTGCTAACCTAGACCCCTATATATCAGTTTTTGATATGAAACCTAGTGCAGCTGAACCTACAAAGCAACCCACTAAGAGAAAGAAAGGCAAGGGGAAGAAACATCGACGTAAGCATGCTGGGACAGATGGACGAAGCAGAGGGAAACGAAAAAAAGGGAAAGGCAAGAAAAGGAAAGAAAAGGTCAAAATGCCTGAAGTAGAGCCTGCAACATTTGGTGAACTTGATGAAGCACAGAATACTGATGAACATACCATACCAATGCCACATGATCATCCAAATTTTGGTAAACACGAAACTGAAGCCATTGATTCCAAAATTGATAAAAAGGATTTTGATATATTTAAAGCTGGTGTGTTTACAGGGGATCCATTCACAGAGGAAATGCTTCCCGAAGTACACACTGATAAATTTGATAGAGATATGGTATCCACTGAGGCTGATCTCAATGAGGATACCACTGAGGAAGATGGTGTGACAGTAGAAACAGGAGATCTGCTTCCTACTGCATTTCCAGAATATATTGTGACACAAGACAATCCCAAAAATGTTAAAATTCCTATTCATAACTTCGAAACAATTGAAAACAAAGACTTTTTGGACTTTAACACCCCAACAGAAGTGGATGAGAAAAAGAAGAAGACAAAGAAGAAAGGAAAGGGGAAAAAGAAGATGAAAACAAAAGAATCAAAAAGTATATTATCTCAGAATGATATGAAAGATAAAATTCAAAATGAGCAAGAAATAAATGTAAGTTTACAAGTAGTTATCCTATGTGCAAGCTCTTCACTATTTTGATATGATCCAATTATGGCATATAAGAAACAACAAATATTAGAAGCAAACTAGTATTAACTATAAGAATCATTAGATACATTGATACAAAGCATGATTTAATTCTCATGTGTAGGCTATCATATTGAAAACATCTTAAGAGATTCTAACATACCCAAACTTATATTATATAGCAATGTTATAGCAATGTGATTGTGTGTGTGTTTTCAGGCTCCCCAAAGTTGTAATGAGGCCACTAAGGGACTGTTACATTTTGACTTTACGACTCAGCGTTTGTTCCGCTGTAGTGGTGTAAGCTGGTTGCCTTGGCATGCTAGCCATATAGACCAACCACAGGCCTCTGATAGCAGGGTTATACAATGTGAACAGGGTAAGAAATGATTATTTTGATTAGAAACCGCCACAATACATGTATGTAAGGAACAATTTAAGGTAGAGAGACTAAAGAAAAAAGTTGACACAATGACTTTTTTGGCTTACAACATTCAATTCCATGACTTTTTCTTGAATATTTAACTGTTTTGAACTTATTTTGTAAAGGATTTCGCATCCCTCCTTTTACACTCTATTTTTTGCTGCCACTGAATAACTGCCTAATTTACATTATTCAGAGCTAGTACAGTATTCATTGCTTTTTATCCATTAGGGTGGAGTGTATACAATAGTGTGTGCTACAGAGTATTTTCAATCAAGAAGGAGTGGAATGAAGCAGAGAAGATCTGCCAGGTGGAACATGGCGGCCATCTTGCTTCTGTCACATCAGAAAAACATCTTCATTGGTTGGCAAAACTAGCCAACAAAAACATGTTTTGGATAGGTTCGTAATGAAATAGCAGTGTGAAGGTTTTGACTGATATTGAATATAAGAAATGTGTATCTTGATCTTAGCTCTTTTACAAGTTGGCCTACAAGATGACATCGGTAAATCAATCCAACAATTTTCTCATTAAGGCTGCCTTAAATACTGGTTATTTACATTAAAAAATTAAATGAAAGATACATTGTCCTGCGAATATCATATGTGTTTTACATGGAGATAAATATTTACTTTACCATATTATGAAGCAACAATTCAACACAATCCCCTAAAGATCATATTCACATAGTAAATTATTGTGAGTAGCAAAATTATGCAATTATAAACAACAATGGTCTAGTATGGATACATTGATTCATGTTTGAATACTATTCCAGGTCTGAATGATAAGCGTGAGTTGAAGCAATGGGAATATACCAGTGAAAACGAAGTGACTTATATGAATTGGAGAAGAGGCTTCCCCAGAAACAAACAAGTGTTCCATAAAAACTGTGTTCTGGTTTTGTCTTCACAAAAGTGGGTCAATAGACCATGTGTAAAGAGTAAAGCTCCATATATATGTTCCAAAAAGTAATTGTATATAGATGTATTATGTCCCCACACTTGCCACCAAGCTTCTATTTATTGAGTTTTTGTACATTTCAAAAGATGTCATGTTAGTCAAATGCATCTCTTGTAAATTCTTGAAACTGGATTATAGTTTTTGGTTGGCACAGTTTTGTAATGTTTTTTAATGTTTTCTCAAATCTTTTACATAATCTCTCAGCATAATTTAGTTTTGAAACATTTTGATTTGATGAATATTTACCTGAAAGCAATGAAGACAACAATTTAATTGATCTGTATGTACAGGTATATGCATTGCTTTATGTTTGTAGCACCTTTCATTCTGCATTTTATCTTGTGCCTCAATAATCTGAATATCCAAAAGCAAAAAGGAAATTGATGCTACTTTTTATATTGACTTGTATGACATCTTTTGAATTCCTATACATGTATGTAAGCAATGTTTATATTGCAACTGTAAATACTTTAGAGGATGGAATTTCACAAAATGGTGGAAATACCAAACAGTATGTATATATAGAGTTGACTAAAATATTGTTAAAACTTTAATAGATGATATTGATCGTCATTACTTTGTGTCGCAGCATAAATCAATATATGGTTATGTAGAATATATACAAGTGAAACAAAACAAAAATAAATTGGTATCGAACTAGTGAAATATTGTTGGAATCTTTTTTTTGAAGAAATTGAGTTTGAAATCTTGACTACTGGTAATTAGTTATTGTGAATCATTTGTTATGCTTTTACAGTGGCCCAGATTATTTTTGATTTACAATATACTAAACTAAATATACAAGACACACATTTAAGAATACCTTTTTTATTCAGCATCTTAAATAAGTTTAGATTATTATTGAATTAAGATGAAAGCATATTTGTGTTAAAAGTGAGATGAAGCGTATTTAAGGTGAAGATTAAGAAAAGGGCCAGAAAAGAATGTTCTTGTGTATGGTCATCAAAGAAATGGTAGTATTTGTTATTTTTAAGAAATAACAAAAAAATTTTGCAAGTTGTTAGAATACTTTGAAGGGTGTTAGACAGATTAATATATCAGAAATGGAAGCATTATATCATTTTGTTTTTATGCCTTTAAATAAGTATTTTAATTTTTTACCAATATTGTATGTTTTAACAGGGACAAGACCTCACTACTTATTTCTGGCAAATTGGCCCATCAGCCAGGTGGCCAGAAAGACTATTTCATGGCCTATATTAATGTGCAGATACTATGTGCAGTGCAAGATAAAATTGATATATATTGTCTGATATGTTTTGTTTCACATAGTTCAATATCTGTAAGGTAGTCTCTGTTATATATATTATTGTTGTAAACAGGTACATGTATTTACTGGTACCAACTATATTGCGCTAAACAATCTTTATAATAACAGAAGTATATACGAGTATTGTAGAAATGCTATACAGTGAGGCATATTTATGTTTTGAAGTAAGTGATATGCTCAAATGTACATTTCTGCATTATTTAGACTTTACACATACCTATAGTCCTGTACATTAGAGATTTCCTCGTTTCATTAAATTCTAAAGCAAAGTAAATGGACACTAGAATTCAATATTTGAGAATTGATATATCCATTATATTCTGATAATGATGTACTGAGAAAAAACCTTTTTCAGTCTGGACAGAACCTGAAATTTAAATTACTCAAATTCCTTATTGAGAATAGTTCCAACAGGTTGTGTGTAAGACTGTTACAAGGCACTGGTATCTGACTATGTGTTTGATTGCATATTTATGAGATGTATATCTTAATGTGAGAATAAACATGTAAATTGTAAACAATTTGAGATGTGATATATATTTTTGATGTTGATATCTTTATCCAAAAGTTTAAACATATAGGCTTCATCCAGTAATCAATATTAGCACAAACCTAGAAGTATTTATTCAGCTGATATTTTCGACTGACAAAACAAATAAACAGTTTTTATTTCACAACTTTATGAATAATCTACTTTTTATTTACAACTATGTATAGTATAATAATATCATGATCTATAAATACATGTCTATAACTTTACAACATCTGATGTAAAAGATAAATTGATGAACAATGTGTTAAATGCAAGTATGTATAGATAAATATCAATGAAATATAATATAATAATAACTAGATTGGTAAATTGAACAAAGTTCAATTTAAGACTCCAGATTGATTTACTTGAGTAAAGAGTTGAGTAAGTAACTGAGTAGGAAGCTGAGTAAGTAGATAATTAAGTAATTGAGTAAGTAGCTGAGTAGGTAGCTGAGTAAGCAGCTGAGCAGGTAGCTGAGTAAGTAGCTGAGTAGGTAGCTGAGTAAGTAGCTGAGTAGGTAGCTGAGTAGGTAGCTAAGTAGGTAGCCGAGTAGGTAAGTAGGTAGGTAAGTAGGAATTTTTGACCGGAAGTCGGATTGAAATTTGGTTTGCAGATTTAAATTCCTGATAAAATTCTACCCTTAATTCATAACTCATAAGTTAAATTATGAGAACTTTTTATTTTGACCTACTTTACGAACACCATATCTCAAAAGTGGGTCAAAATACTTTCTGATGGCAAAAGGCTCTCACTATAAGCACACTCTTTGCTACCTGTATACAAAATGTTGAAGCAAATCCTAAAAGTGTAGTGCCAGAAACGAAAAAATAAGGAAAAACTATGAATTTGACCTAGATTTTGACCTAGGCATTTTGGTGTCCAAATATTGAAACTAGGTAGCTTTTGAGGTCCCCTTCTTTTATCGGAATTCATTATCTTAAGTCAGGATACCATCAGATCGATTTTCCGAAATTTCAAAACGCCATAACTTCCGAACCGGGAGTCGGATCGAAATTTGATTTAATGATTCGGATTCCTGACAAAATTCTACCCCTAATTCATAACTCATACGTTAAATTTGGCGAATTTTTATTTTGACCTACTTTTCGGACACGCCATAACTTTGGAACCGGAAGTCGGATCGAAATTTGGTTTGCAGATTCGGATTCCCGAGAAAATTCTACTCTTAATTCATAACTCATATGTTAAATTTGGAGAATTTTTTATTTTGACCTACTTTTCGGACACCATATCTCAAAAGTGGGTCAAAATACTCTCTGACGGCAAAAGGCTAACACTATTAGCACACTCTTTGCTACCTGTATACAAAATTTTGAAGCAAATCCTAAAAGTGTAGTGCAAGAATCGCAAAAATAAGGAAAAACTATGAATTTGACCTAGATTTTGACCTAGGCATTTTGGTGTCCAAATATTGAAACTAGGTAGCTTTTGAGGTCCCCTTCTTTTAGAGGAATTCATTATCTTAAGCTGTACTCAATCTATATCTCGTATTTTACACTTCAAAAAAATCTTTTTTCCTTGACTTTCTATCAGGATAACATCAGATCGTTTTTTCTCGAAATTTCAAAACGCCATAACTTTCAAACAAGAAGTCGGATTGAAATTTGGTTTGCAGATTCGGATTCCTGACAAAATTCTACCCCTAATTCATATCTCATACGTTAAATTTGGCGAATTTTTATTTTGACCTACTTTTTGGACACGCCATAACTTCGGAACCGGAAGTCGGGTCGAAATTTGGTTTGCAGATTCGGATTTCTAGGAAAATTCTACTCTTAATTCATAACTCAAACATTAAATTTGGAGAACTTTTTATTTTGACCTATATTTCGGACACCACATCTCAAAAGTGGGTCAAAATACTTTCTGACGGCAAAAGGCTAACGCTATTAGCACACTCTTGGCTACATGTATACACAATTTCGAAGAATATAATTAAAGTGTAGTGTCAGAATCGAAAAAATAAGGAAAACCTATGAATTTGACCTAGATTTTGACCTAGGCATTTTGGTGTCCAAATTTTGAAGCTAGATGGCTTTTGAGGTCCCCTTCTTATAAAGGCTTTGATTATGTGAAGCTGAACTCAGTCTATATTCCGTATTTTTCACTTCAAAAAAATCTTTTTTCCCATTGACTTAACATGGGCACCAAATTTAGCGATTTTTGAGTTTTCAAAACGCCATAACTTCCGAACCGGAAATCGGATCGAAATTTGGTTTGCATATTCAGATTCCTGAGAAAATTCTACACTTATTTCATAGCTCATATGTTAAATTTGGCTAACTTTTTAGTTTGACCTACTTTCCGGACGCCATATCTCAAAATCGGTAAGAGTAATCAAAAAACGGATGGCATATCCTCGATTTGTTTTTTTCTAAGCTACACAATGAGATGTACATCCAGGTGTTTCGATAAATAATGGCGAAGATAATTGACAGAATGTTAAAAATGTAAGATTTGACCTAGTTCTTAACCTTTGACCTAGATAAAAAGTTGACCTAATTTCCCAGAAACTAGGTCGATGGGCTATGTTAGCCATGTAAGTAGGTTAAACTAAGCTCTTCTAGTTGCTGAGAAAACGTGTACGGAAAGAAAGAAAGAATAATAATAAGAAAACTGGCAAAAGCAATAGACTCCAGATTTTCATCTGGAGTCTAATAATACAGGCAATATATTTGGACCCTACAAATCATTTAAATAATATATACATTCAAAGCATTTTAGCTTCCAATTTTTATTCTAGGTATATTTGGGGGAGGGACATGTGTGAGAGCAATACAGTTTATCTGGACCTTACAAATCATTTAAATTATATATACATTCAAAGCTTCCGATTTTTATTCTAGGTATATTGGGGTGGGGGGGGGGGGGTGTTGGATATGTGTTTATGATACAGTGAGTGGAGACTATCCATTTTCTTCAAATATTTTGCCTAATTGTAATTTGGTCTAAGTATTGCATTGCTTTCATTACAAGTACCAACCTATCATTTTTCTATGGTAAAATTAATAACTTCTGTAAAACGAAATCTCCCAAACCATTGATAGCATGAAAATACTGCTTTTCTGACCATAAAATGAGATTTGAAGAAAGTTACTGTAACAGACAAATAAAAACAAAAAATGACATTTCTAAATATATTCCTGAGAATGTAGTTTTAAAAAGATATCTGAAATCTACTGCAAAATATATACTTGAAAAAGTATAATTTTTGTAAAGAAAATACATCAAAAATTTCAACAGAGGTTGGCAAGTATGGCTTAACAAATGGATAGCAACAAAACAGAAGATGAAGACAACATTTCAAATATGGAATTTTGTAACTGACATGTCATATTAGACTTATTCAAACAGTAAATTTCCTCATTCGCCACACGACATTTTTGTGTGTATGATAAATATCTGCAACTGAGTATTTGAAAATGAGTATTTAGGTAACACATTTGATACCTGATGAATGACATAGTCTAATAATTATATTATTAAGTACACTTCTATAACCCATACATGACTTGTATGCAAGCTATATGGTAAACCTCATATACACATTAGGCATATCTCCACTTACAAGTACTGTACATTTACAAACCATATAAGGCAAGCTTCATGTACATATTGCACATCTCTTATGTATCCACTCATAAACATCTCTCAAGGCAATATGACACATACATGTACTAATAAGAAGTAATTTTACATAAAAAGTTTTATTTAACTTAATGGTGATAGCTGATATAAGCATTCCAGTGTGTAAAGCTGCTTGGTCAATGATTCTGATAAAATTTATTCTTGACTTCAATTCTGAGCAAAATTGGTAAATTTTCTATACTGTAAAACCTGTTTTAGGGAACACCTCTTTCTAGCGAACACCTGTCTCTAGTGGACACCCTTCCTCTGCACATACTCTACTGACTTCTGTATAAATTACCCTCTGTAGTGAACACCTACCAACACTGAACATTTTTTCTCAGCAAAAAATGTTCAATATACAGAGGTTTTACTGTATATCCAAATTGTCTCTTGTATGGTCTGCAAGAAATATGACACACTGCTTGTAGATAATTCTGTATTCACTCTTTTTCTAATAAACATGTACTCAGACACACTTTTACAACCAATATATCACACATCTAGGGTGTATGGCAAATCACTCACATAGGCAAGTTACATGTATATATGGCACTTTTGTCAGACCTGCACTGTACCTGTTGGGTACATGATTCAAATTTATTTTTTGATGCAATATTTTCAATGCATCCTCTATAATTCTTGAGAACCGGGTTTTAATAAGGTTAAATGCTTTAGTAATAAATGCATTCAGTAGGGTTGTCAGTACAACCCTAGTCAGGTGAAAACCTATTTGACCAGTTTCCATTCAGACTACTTCCTTTCTCATCAAGGATATTCAGTCTCAAATCATATATGATAAATGAGGTACAGGGTGGTAAAAAAAAACGGCAACCCTAGTTTTTCCTAATATCTGTCATTCTAAGAAATAACTCCCTGATATTTTACACATTTGTACATCATTCAATTTCCTACCAACCTACCATATTTCATGACCATCGGACTGATAATCACAATATTACTGCATTTTAAGCAACATGCCCCATAAGGCCACTTTCGTGCTGTCTGAGCTGGTCTGTTATTCAAACGAACTCCATTTCCAATTTGATGCACTGGTAAACTCTAACAATTATGTATTTTTGGGGAGCCAAGCACTTGATGAAGTAGTGGAGATGCACCTTCACACAGACAGATGCACAGTTTAGTGTGTTCTCAGAGTGTGATTCCCATTGACCTCTTGGGGACTTTAGGTGAACCCAGGGAAGTTGAAAGGCAGCAGCAGTGGTCCAACAAGACAGAACCATACCCCAAACACCCAATGATGCACAATAATGGCTTTGGGACCACTTCAATGACCACATTATCAGCAGTACAACAGACAATGAATGGGCACCCCATAGCCCAGATATGGCCCCATTTAATCTTTATTAGTGGGGATACCCCAAAGATAGAGTGTAGACTACACAAGAAAGACATTTGACCTCAAAATAAAGATCACATGTGTCGTTCAGGCTATACTTGCTGAGGAATGCAGTTATGTCATTGACAGGTTTGGAAAATGTGTGCAGGTTTACCTACAGCACGATATTAGAAAACTGAGGCACCTTGTTTAAAGTGCTGTAACATTGGGACTATCAGTCCAATGTTCATGAAATTACACAGTCTAGTATGAAATTGAATGATGTACATGTGTGGCAAATATCAGGGCAAGATTTCTAAAAATGACAAAGATATGAGGAAAAATTAGGGTTGCCATTTTTTTGACCACCCTGTACAATGTTTATTTTCAACCAAATTACCAGTTTAGAAGAAAAGGACTTTTAGAATTGTGTCTCTGTTTAATTCAACAGATGAACAACAACAAAATTCTCATCATGATTTCAATTGTCTTTGTACAAAATCCTCCCAGGAGTAGTTCCATCTAATATATTTTTAAATTCTCAATGACATACATCATTATCTGATTATGGGTTTTGTTTTTATCAGAGACTTCTAGACTTCTATCACTGAATCAGCTCTGCAAAATGGTAAAAATTAAAAAAAAAATAGAAACATCCAGTTTGTCCAGTCGATTCAATATGGCTATCCAAATGTGATCATTTGTTACCATTTCCAAGTAAAGATACAAACACAATTAAAAGGATTAACCATATATACAAAATAAAGATTATTCAATAATCGCTGTATCTTTTGAGAGTATCTGCCACTGTTGATCAATATTGACAAATTTTGGTAGTTTATTCATTTGATGACATATTCTGAATTAAATAAGCAACAATTATTGATCCTATGTTTGTTCACTAATCCATTTCCATGCAAAGTCCCAAATCAGAAGAACAAACTGTCGTCTCAAGTCACAATTTTCTTGTTTTGCAACTTTCCTCAGGTGAGAAATGTCCCAAGGGAAGAGCATGTGAAAAGCATTTCAGTAAGGCCACTTCATTACCAAATATTTGTTTCACTATCTCATGGGGAGATATAAACAACAGCATTATCCTCAATATCTGAGTTACTATCATCCTCAATAGGCATCAACAAACCCAATATTTAATGCATGGAAATGGAGTGGGTAGATGTACTTCCTTTATCCCCTATATCCAATACCAAAGGAACTGTGTGAATGAGTTTTGAATTTGAACAACTGAATTCATAGCATGAACATATTCAAAATGTTAACACCTCTAAGTAAGGGAATCATATTAGGAGTCTCATTCCTGGCCACGGTTCTGATAACTCTGTAACAGTTAGAGATTGTGAGTTAGAACCCTTGGTCTCTGCATGTTTTACAACACATCTGTCTAAAATAGGGCCTGCTACAGAACTGGAATTTCAATACTAATGGACAGTATCCTACTTTATTCCTGTCACGACAGACTTTTGGTTTCTGTTCACAGGGACTAATACAATCTTCAGTTTTATGAGGTTTCTCTCTTTCATCACAGTCCTCACTCTTCTCCCCAGTGTATGTTTGACACATTACATCTCGGTCCTTTGTTCCTGGCCCACACTTGCTGGAACACTGGAATATTAAGTAATGGTGATGGAATATGTCGGTTTAGTATTCAAAATAAAGTTTTGAGTTTTGCTCACAATGCGAGAGTGGTAATTTAGAAATACCCAAATGTGAAATGCTATAAAAATAAAAATGGTATGAAGAGTACTTAAGATTATAAAAACAACAGTTGCTGTTTGTCATCAGTATTCATTAGATTTGTACTTAAAGAAATTGCAGTGACACGTGATGAGAATGTGCCTAAGCATCTACCTGAGAGGCACAAAACCCTCACAGTGTTTTCTATCCACTCTGTGACACATCTTTTGGAAGGAAGAAACAATATAAATACAATTTCTTGTTACCTTTTTCCAAGCTCCCACCACCCATTCAGGAGGAGGACACTGTCCCATGTTGCATTTCATCTTGTTTGGTGGTCTTTTCTGGGCATCACATTTATCCTCATTCAAGAAATCTTTACCATCATCAGAAACACAAAATACATTGCGGGTCCTGAGGCCTGCTCCACATTTAGGTTTACACTAAAAAAACACAAGAATGATATAATAACCAAAAAACAAAAACTATAGCAGAAGTAGGGTTTATTTATTTTTGTATTGTAAATGAATGAGAATTGTCATTGTTGATTTTATAAACAAATACATGGTGGTATTTCATTATCCATAGGAGGAACTTCTCTTTCAAATATAAAAAGGCAGGAAAATGATCTTGCATTTGTAAGATGTGATGATTATCAGGATTCATCTGCTGATTTGAAACACTCACCTCTGACCATTCATCTGTTGCCCAAGTAGGTGGACACTTGTCCCTGTTACACCTCATTCTCCATCTGGGTGTCTTCTTTCTGGCACACTTTGCCTTCTCCAGTTGAACCAACTCATTATCTGGGAGAACCTGTACACAGTCTATTTCACGTATCTTGACACCTCCTCCACATGTCTTGCTGCACGTGCCCCACTTTCCTATACTCCAACTACAGGGAAGCAACAAGGAAACATTTTATCCATCACAAGAGCTTATTAGAAAGAAGCAGAACAAACATCATAAATTGTAATGTTATGGATCATGTGTGAATTTCATTTATGATTCAATTGATTGACTATCCTGACTCTCAGACCTCAAAGTACTTATGTATTTATTGTTCTGTTTGTACTTACTCAGGTGGGCAAGGTTTCTCATTACAATGTATTATCTTGACACTCGGTTTCAACCCAGCAATACAGTACTTGTTGTCCACTGTGTTATTGTCACTTTGTCTCTTGCATATAGGTACAGCTTCTGATATACCTACAATACATGCAAACATGCATTGATCATACAAATACATGTATTACTGTAAAATGTATTAGTAGAATATACACCACAATCATAATAATGACTGGTTTTAAGTTATCCTTTGTAAGCATGAATATCTGCTGGGGTTATGTTATCATCATCACTTGACTTTTGTTTCATGTCTGTCTTTCCATAGAAAGGTAATATATGGACTTAGTATGTGTTATCTTCTCTAGAAAAGAGATTTCTGGTTATATATGACATATTGTTCTATATAAGTTCATTGTTTCATATTTACCTTTAGCACATGATTTAGTGCATGTGGACCATGGAGAGTACTCCCAGACAAAGGTGGTACCATTTATAAAGCCACTGTCCTTGGGCACATTGTATTCATAGTAAATGCCCTTATTGTCCTCCTGCAGCAAAACCTGCAAGAAAATACAACAACATGAGATCATTATTTGTCTTTCTTTTGAATAATCATCAGTTTGAATAACCCACAAATCTGCAAAAAGATCTCAAAAAGTGGTAAGCCAGCAATCACAAGACGAAAATGGTTTGTTTATATTACTGCACTATTTGTACATAATTTGATTAAAGTTTTATGTGTTTTAAATGTGTATTCAGTGTATTTACCATGACCACGAGATCTTCACTTATAGGTCCCAGAGCTTTGAGTATCTCAGGTGACCCCTTAGGTCTCTCATAGTGGAACACTGTACCGGCCACCTCAAACTTCCTTGGCCAGTCAATGGTCCAGGCTCCATTGATGTAGTATGTACCGTCGGCTGATCTTAAAGCTGTTAAAAGACAACGAAAGGTTTAAGCAGTTCATTTCTAATTTCTACTAATGAGACCATTGTCCTTTTGGTGACATAAAGAACGTTTGAAAACTTTTTAATGATGTTGCTTTTTGATTTTGTTTAGCTAAGACAGTTACCTAAATAATTAGATGATGTGACTTTCTCAGAGACAGATATATGCACTGCGCCGCGTGATATTCTGCAAGCTTCAACATAACCTGCAAAAACAAGGCTTATTCATGAACAAATTCAGGAAACCTTTTCTTGAAAGCATTTGTGTTTTGTTGTTTTCAAAGTACATGTTATAGACGTTTGAGTCATTTTCTTATCATTGCTGATTTCCTATGATAGAGACCTTTACAGTAAATGGGCATCCACTCAACATATGGTTAATGTGGTAAAATGTCTATTACCTCCTTTCACATGGTCATTATCCTCAAAGAGTCCCTCCACAGTCTTGCAAGATGTCTGGTTGCCGGCACACACTCTGCATTTGTCTTCTATGGCATTGGACCCAAGGATACGATCACATCCAACATGCTATATAACAGTAAAATACTTAAAATTACCTTACACATTATGAAACTATTTTCGTTTGCACTGGCTGACATCCTCTCGAGAGCGGTAGGATTTAATGTAATTGCCAATTTCGGAAAGAAGTGCAATCCGTGTGACCGATCCTGCGATCCTGTTTATTTTTGGTCACCCGGTATGTCGCAGTTGCATGTCATTTTCACTACCTACCGACTACTGTGACTGGAAGATATCTTCCTGTGTATGGCTTTACTTACCCTACATTCTCCATTGACGCACATGTCGTAGCTATCAGAGGAGCACCTGGTGCCATCTATGACTTTAGGGGCACGTTCTGTGTAGAAGTTGAATGTTTCAGCCATACAGTTTAGGGCACATTCCTTTACCTGCCCTACAAATATCAAGATACCTTCCTTGATTATCAATACATGTACCAAATGAATTTATTTTCATTAATCACTGACGATATTTATATTTTGAAAACTATAATTAAAAATAATTCAACTAGAGTGAAACGAGTCATGCTCGTCACCTGGACTTTTAAAATGTAGGCATGCTTTAATGGTGCCTATTAGACAGCAGAGTTAAATTGCTAATCAAGCATTTTGCACAAATTTTCGTGTATTTTGAAGTATTTTCGCAGCAATTAAATCTGCTGTGTAACTCTGGTCAATGACATGCACGGACATGATCATTCTTTCACCAGGCCTACCTAAATACTCGGACATGCGTCTATCGCTACATCCATCCACCGGGTATGTCAAATACCGCAACAGAATGCTCATGCAAAGGTCATGAAAAAGCTCCGAATTTTACCGTTGAATAAGATGAAAGAGGTTTATGGCTTCTTATTGGCTCGAGGATATACGAGAGAGTTTTACAAGCAGTGTACCTGTTGGATGGTTGCATTGTTGGGACCTTTATATTTGGGAGGCTGAAGTCATTCGACCATTCGGGGAGTTTTCTGATGTGTTGTAAAAGATGATGTCTGATAAAGTTGTCCTATATACCATTTTGAAGCAGAGATACGCACAGCAGTTGAGTCTTTCTTGTTACATGATTTAAAGCGTTTGGAGGATTGTAGCTAAGCGAGCCAGAAAAATGTGGTCAAGTCATGCGGCTTCTCCGACTTAAAGATACTGGGTGATATTTAAGAGAGGGTCAGGAAGATCAGAAGGGGAAATCTTCAATGGCCCATGTCCACCTCCAAAATTTACTTCATTGTTTCCCATGCATGTATTTTCTAAATTTTCTAGGTACAGGGGAATTGATTGTAAATATGAAAAATGATTTGGTAAAATGCCGGGCTGAAGCCAAAGTAAATATCAATGCAAATGCTGATGATAAACAAACAAGAATGACGAGAAATTAAATGACTTAGCATTTAACATGTATGGGACTAACCAATGTATCAGAAATGATTGTCCACTGGGACTGTTCCCCATTCATATTGTACTATTTGATTGAGTATTAACAATTAAATATTTTTGATTGGGTGATTTGGAACAGTAAAAGGGGAACACTTAATCCAAGGGACAACTATCCCATCTACACAGGTAATATAGCTGAGCATAAAGACCGAAATATCTTACCATCTCCAAAACCATCTGTGAATAGAGAACCGAAGCTTTATTAGATTCATTTTCACCTTCGTATTTTTCATTATTGGTATATTCACATTATATACGACGTTCTCGAGTTACTGGTCAACGTTTAATTTTAAACTTGCAAACTCACTGTATTAATATTCCTTTTATTTCATTTTCATGGTTCTTTTCACTATTTTTTTATACCAAAATAACAAAATGAAATTATGCAAATTCAATTGGTAATTTAAACGCCGTGAATTGTACTTCTAATCACCAGCTAATGAAAGTGAAAAAATACTCGAAACTATTGAATAAAAAAATCAAAAAATCAAAAAGGTGTCATCAAAAGAACAAAAGACAATTGGCGCAATCAAACCAGAGACAACAAAAAAATTGTGTGAAAGGAATTCTACAATTAACTATACTGCATGTGAATCAACTACATGAACATGAACAAGTACAAACCGTGTACATTATATTTAGAGACAATATAAGATGTCGTGATTTTATTCTTGAATCCAAGTACAATATTTTCTTCTATTTATTAGACATATCTTCATATTACCATGTAGTAATGGTTATGGATATTTCGATTCGTTCGGTAAACGTTATGCAAATGTTACATTAAAAATATATATTTGGGAAGTTTCAAGGCGTTTGATATATTTGTGGCTCTGTTGTAAAATATAGTAAAGTTGTTTTTACGAATCTTCAAATGCGCAAAACCAATCACCTACACTTTTCAATGTATTATTGAAAGAGGTTAACGTTATCAATCGTATCATGAACATTTTTATAAGATTAAGTATCTACCCAGTCAATAGATGAAGAGCATTGTTTCTCTTGGTTGAAAAATGTACATTGTCTTCTAGATCTATTTCTAAGTCCGAGGATTACCTTTACAAAGAAATAAGAAGAATATCATACTTCTTTACTTTTTAGATTTCTTGATCTTTTGAGGTCAAAATAGCAAAGCAATTTGACATTTTTTCACAAAATCAATTTTTACTAATTTACACCGATATTTTTGAATTTTTCAATGAATTCTAGATCTACGCTCGTATATGTGTTTATTTACATTCACACAAATCCAATATGCATACGATCATAATCAGATAAATAAACAATATTATACACGGATGTAGACTTTATAGTGCCATACATCCGATGTAACAACCATTGCAGTTAACTGTACTGATGGAGGGGTCTATCAAGGAATCGTATTCTGTTTTCTAACCAATTATCACTATATTATAATATGAAAAAGAAAATACGTAGAACTGTGAAGAGAATCTAGGAATGAAAATATGATATTTTAAGACACACTTTGCTGATAGACACCTCCTCGTCGCTGCGTTTTAGCATATTTCTAGGCACACATTAAAACAGCTTATTGATAACTAAGAGTATGCAAATTGCATAAAACTTATTTTAACATACCACCGAATTCACCTGAAAGTATTCCAAATCTTTAATTAGGCGCACTCTCACCAAAAAGGTACATATGGCATAGGTGTTCAACTGGGCACAAAAATAATGTAATCTGGGGTGGTCACCCGGTTCAGAGATATCACGATCTTAAGATGAAACGACACACGTCCTGCTTATTTACATTACTTTTTCATGAGTTGCTCATTTTGTATGAGGTGTATAGTTGACATGGCTGCAAAATTGCCGTAAATTAGTAAAAATACCATGATTGTATATGGCCTTATTACGGATAAGTAGTTACTGTAAGTTACTGATTAGAAATGGTAAGTAATTTTACCATAGGCTTTCAACAGACAATATTGTGGATAAACTTCATAAATTAATACTTATGATTTAATTCAAATGAATTTTAAATTCATAAATAATTCATACACCTAATTCATACATTCATTCTTCATATGAAGAAGCACATCTAAGATATCAAATATTCATGAACAACTGGTGAATATTGGTATTGTTACTGGGAATCGAATGCTTACACCTGTATTATGTAGTTGGAGATTCCCCTAAAGATTAATAATTTATTCTATCTACCTTTAAATCATTAATTATCAATAATTAGTATTACTGTAATATTTTGTTATGTTATTATTATTATTAACTGAATTAAATCCATATGAGGTAGACATCAAAATGGGATTCTACTCACCTCCTGTATAAGGCTTCCATTTGTATGTCTTGCCTCTGAAGGGGATCTCATTCAGCCTCTGACACTGTACCTCTCTAAATGACGTAGAGTTCAGGGGACAATGCTATAAGGTAAAGAAAATAGCACAATTGGTAAAGCACAAACTATATATACAGTGAAACCTGTAATGTGGAACACCTCTAGATATGGAACACCTTTGTTAGTTGAACAGTTTTTTGAATCCCAAGACCAACTGACTTAATATTGGAAGACCTTCCATGTGGAACATTTTTTGATGTACCAATTGTGTTCCATGTAGACAGGTTTTGCTATAGTTCATTAGAATTCATTTATTAATTTTCTACAATTTAGTTATATTTCTGGAATGTTGACGTCCATCAGTGTTTGTAAGGTTTATTCTCAAAAATAAGTTACTTTTTGGCATCGCCTGTAAAGGCTATACGGATAACCTTAAAATAAACACATACTAGTATGCAAATCTTTATGGGACACCCTGTATGCAACTGATATTTGAGTCTCACCTGTATATTACATGATTTGTATCTTCTCCTCTCCCCTATACAGAATTTCCCTCCATGTTTAGGTCTGAAAGTAAAATGCTTCTGATGAAATAATGTTAATTGGATTTCAAGTGGGAAACAAATGTTCAAATGAGCATTGGCAGAAACTTCATGAGACTTCATGATAGTAATGTAAAGTTCAAATGTTAAACGGTTTCAAAAGACAATTAAATATGAATAAAATACAAACTTACTTTGGGCTATCACAGAACCTTTCGCTTAAAATGACACCTCCACCACATGTTCTAGAGCAGTCACTCCAGGAGGACCAAGGACCCCATTGTCCATCTACCCTCGCGGGCTTGTACCCATACTTCACACACTTCCCTCGATAGCACCACTAAATTCAGAAAACCAAATACATTTACATCCAACATAAAATGATGTAAAACGATTGTTCAATTTGATACGTCATTAATCCACAAGAGGCTTGCAAACTGATCACTTTTGTTCTATTAAATGGTTTAACAATAACATCTCTTACCCCTTTCTTTCCCCTTCTCTGGTTGCAGACAGTCCCCTCTGCTGCTGGGATGTTGTTGGTGATACACCGATCATTCTTGCTCATACACCACAGTTCCTTACATATGTCCTAGAGATAAATCAGTTTGAAATGGAGAATAAGAAAGTAAAGTACTAAGACATAATTAACATACCATTATTGTTGAATCATTTTATAAATGTTCTTTTCTCTAAATGGAATTATCAAAGAACTCCTTCTTGAGACCTTCCGAAATACATTCAAGTTGAAATTGTTTGATAGAGTTCGTCTTTGTACATGTACCTGAAGTATTGCGATAAATACTGAGGGTGAGATTTGTGCCACTGCACAAGTTTTTCTTGAAACCTCGTTAGATATCCTCCAAGAATAATAAAGAAACTAATGTCTAACACCCTCTCCTCCCATTCAGGAACCATTATTTCAATTCAAAACAATAGTTTTCCTACCCCGAATTTACACTGTCTAGATTTTTCTCCATATTGTAGCATGCACTGCTCATTGGCGGTGTGCCTCTGGCCGGGTAGGTAGTCCGGGAACTTGATGTCGACAGTGGGTGGCTCGTTCCTGAGACATTTGCCCCGACCTGAACTAAAAGTCAAAGAAGATAATAATTGTAACGTCCCCGAGGTGTTCATTTCTAAAATCTAAAAAATGCCAAAATATTGGTTGATCAGGGTGGTTTTGGGATGTTTATGTAAAATATCCAAGTTGATTTTCTAGTTTACTAATTTCACCCTGATTACCTCATACCAATATTAAGATCACTACTACAACCGCGATTTTCAAATGTACAATTAAGGTAGGGTGCAAATAGAAAATGATCAATAAAACACCAGTCTTGTTAGTAAATGCTACTCACTCCAAGAAGCCAGTGATGTAGGTCCTGCTGCAAGTGGACCAGGAGAATGGGTCCGTGTTCTTTGTCAGTTGGGCAGCCATGATCTTTGCAGGGTCATTACCAGGAGTCCCACACGGGTTCCCCGCTCCATCATGCTGCATACCAAAACTGCAAGATTTAATCACATTTAATAGAACGTCCCATCTGCCATCGCTATGAAGCTTATATAAAAAATATATTTATTTGGCTTTATAGATGTCGTCCTTAGTCCTAGATAACTGATTACATTTAACGTTGTTATCATGACATTTGTCAATGACCTAAGTTTTATTCTATAATGTTTCTCTTTCGGGGAGGGGATAACTCTTCCATAGTTATATCTTACTTGTGACCTATCTCGTGTGCAATTGTGAATGCTGAAGCAAGTCCAATGTCTTCATTGATGCTACAACTTCGATCAGGTTCACACATCCCTGCAACTGGTGCAAGGCCCAGCGTCCCACAAGGCTCGTTCTTGTACGTGCAGATGTCAAACCTAAAATGTTAAATATACTAGTATTGCATGGCTCGTGTGTGTAAAGAGTGCCGATAACAATACCCCCACCAAAATTCAGGTCGTTATGTCCATGAGGGTTTATATGGAGTTCGAATACAATGTCAGCCAAGCATCGAATCGTCACTTCATCGTTTCCAAGCAGAGATGAAGGTAGTCTTGCTCCAAGACTCTTGACCCCCCCCTATCTACTTCAACAACAGGTGTGCTGTTAAAATAGGGGGAGGGGAGCAAGACTAAGACAAGGGTAACGTGTTTGGTTACAGGTTTCCTATTTTTGAAATATTTTCCAATCGTCTACTTCTCTATTTACAATCGCATCTAATGATTAGGGACTGACAACAGGTTGCGTAACTTGCAGATGGTTTGCTTTTGTTCAATAACGTGTAAGTATAACGAATAGCATTCATGATACCTTGACTCTTGACTCGGCAAAAACAGACTTGTGGAAATAAAAATTGGTTGGATTTTATATTCTTATTGTAATTTAAGTTATCTGGAAGAGATATCCAATATTAAATAATCAGATAATATGGCTATAAACTTAAAATACAGGGTGTTCAAAAACGGAAACCCTGCAGTTTCCTTATATCTTTGTCATTTTAATAAATTACTCGCATAAATTCACACACGTACATCATTCAATTTCCTACCAGCCTACCATATTCCATGACCATCAGACTTATAGTCACAATTTTACAGCACTTTGAATAGCATGCTTCGTGCTGGGTCATCATCGCGCTGTAGGCAAAACAGCACAGTTTTCATTTTTCAATGACCCGAATGTATTCCTCAGCAGGTATGGCCTCAATGACACGGATGATCTCACTTTTGAGGTTTGCAATTGTCCTGAGGTCATTCTCATACACTCTATCTCTGCTATATCACCGCAGGTAGGGTAGGGACAATTTGGAAAGGTTTCCCGACAGTGCAAAAGTGGCAACTAGGAAATGTTTTTAAAGTGCTGTAACATTGTGACTATCAATCTGATGGTCATGATATATAGTGGGCTGGTAGGTAATTGAATGATGTACAAATGTGTAAAATATCAGGGATTTATTTCTAAAAAAGACAAAGATATGAGGAAAATGGTGTAAGGGTTTCCATTATTTCACCACCCTGTATAATATCGGCAGTTCATTGTCCAATCAATAGTCAAATTATTGACTCCTCAACCAATTACAATCGCGTAAATCATCTGTGGTAATAGCAAATAAATCTTTCATTCAATTCTAACTTGAATTTATAAGAGTCTAACAGCTGACGATCCGACTATCTAATACGGACGGACGGACGTACAGAGTGATTCTTTATATATCCACCGGATTTCATTACTTAGAAAAATTAGTATATCTTTAGAATTTCCCTAATGTTGGCGACCCCGCTGCTTTCTAATGTATAAATGACGGTGTTAAAGTAGGGCCATTTATAGGATAGACACAACAAAGTAACATTCTTCCTGTAAAGGTACCACCAAAGTTAATTTTGATAAGACATCAAAGCATCTCTTAAATCTGAACGCGTTGGGGATAACTACAGAGAAACAGATACACAATATTGCTTTAAATATTCAATTATCCAACACGATAACAGGTGATCTGATCTGGCTAACTGATCTGCAACTTTATCTTTAATGCCTTTTCTTATCTAATTTTTCATAGTTACGCCCAATTTCTAGAAACCATAATCTTGCATGAATAAAAGGAGAACATAATTTCTTGAAAAGAAACATCCAAAACTATTTCCAAAATTTATGTAAACAGTCGAATCTTGACAAACGCTAGGAGGAAGATTCTAAATATAAAGTTTGTACAAGGAAATCCTACATTCTTTAAAGATGTACGGCTTGTTAATCTATGGAACACTATAGAACAGGTATATCTTTGTAAAGCCTTACCAGATGTTAATTGTGCGAATCCTACCCCCATGAATAAGTGTAGACCGAGTATGCTACAAAAGTGCATAGGCCAACTAGATAAATCAGGGATGTACTTTGTTTTGTTAAACGTCGGTGAGGAGAGGCAGATTCGATTTTTCAACTTCAATGTACTGTAGAATCAGAGCTAATAAATAACATGTTTCTATTTGATCTCGTTTTCGGTCCATGAATCGTTCAAGATATCAGCAATCTCCTTTATTATTGATGCCGTTGCTCAAGTATCACTTTGAATCTTTGATGCTACTAACAATGAATCAAAGAAGATCTTGATTCCGGGGTTCTGATCAACTTCAAGGCTATGTTTTTGAATAGGTGCGTTATTTCATCAGCTAAACTAGGCCTACCAGACCACTAACAACTAACCTACATCAGGAAAAAACAAATCGCAGGAGTTTCTTCGAGTTAAAATATGTTGTAATTGGAGGTAATGGTATCTTTATAGTGTTTTGAAATAACACGTGGCTGTGCGGGGTCAGGCAATATTGATGTTAGAAAAAATAAACCATTTGTAATGAGAGAAGTGTTTCTGGGTACGAAATCCAAGTAACGATTTCAACCAAATAACCCACCAAGTAAAAACTAATGAGTTATGTTCCTTAATTACTAAAAATGTATTTCAGTCTATAATGGAGCGCGATAGGGAGATGTTCAACCCAGCTAAGATGTGTGGTATAAGACACTCAGAATCATACAGGATTTATCATACCGTATACTTTTGTTAGGTATAATGATTTATAATTTCGATTTCCCAACACAATCTTGTTTTTATCCAGATAAGGTATACCTATATGACCTAATGTTTTGAAAATAAGATATACATATCGCCCCCGTATGAATTTCAAAAAATGAAGTACAAATTAGACTTAAGCTTACAAGAAATGACTACCCTTCACGGCTATGATCCCAACCCAACTAATAGGCGTAACTTAATGGTGTCTCACCTAGTGATAAGGATTGCGTTGTCATGGTGAGCAATACCGTTGTTGTCTTCGGGGGAGTCTGCTGGGGGCGGGTTGATTGACTTCTGCCACTTGCAAAAACTGTTCAAGGACTTATCAGCATGGTGGTTGATCAGCAATGTGGGCTGCAGACAAAACCGACAACAATCAGACAATGAAGAACGTATTTTCATTTTCAATTCCACTAAATCCCTGCTCGCAGTGCCTAGGCTTCGTGAGTCAAGAGATGTTGAAAATATGGCAATGACTTCATTTCAAAGGGCAAGATAGTGAAATCTTTGCCCAAAGGCCGAAATCCGAAGCCCACGATTTACTTTGTTGCCCACTGAAGTGAGGTGGTAGTATTACTTTTATCACCACCTATTGAAAACCAAGTACAAACTCGAATAATAAGTTATTATATTAAAATATAAGCCATCTAAACTGGTACTAATACCCCGAGAACAGACCTCGCCGTAAGATGGTGATAATCTTGAATATCATAAAATGGCCCTGGGCAGTGTTAAAGTCTTACATATATTACCTTATTTTTAATAAAACTTTATGTATTAGTTTGTCCTTAATAACTTTCCCTACAATTATGTGAGAATGCCTAAGGCTATAGATTCGGTTACCCCTGTTAAGTACTTTATTTTTAGAGGACAAGTACCCGCCTGTGGGACTCTAAAATATTTGGAGTGGTATAATCACTGTGGCAATATAATACAGTTTATTTCCCCAATAAAAAGTAGTTTCTAGTAATGTATATTTCACCATTACTTATTAGTAATCAATAAACGGCAAACAATAAGAACGTATCGACAGATGTCGTGCGATAGTATGGGGGCATTTCGGGCCATAGCACTCCATTGACACGAGTATCGACTGAGAAAAGTCGCACACTGCTGCAATCCTTATTTTTCGTGAGTTGCTCTAATGAGAAAGCCAAGGATCAACAATGTTATCAAAGTGGTGACAAAATGTTTAGAATCAATAGACGTAGGGTGCCTAGATAAGTTTATTTTAATTAAAATGAAGATGGTCCGGATATTGACAGGTAGACCACACCCTGCTCCAATGAGATTTTTAGTGTGTTGCTCCAATGGGAATGGCGGGGGTCAACAATGTTTAAGAATTTATATAGGTATTTGGTGCCTGGTGGATTGATTTATTTTAATTGAAATGAAGATGGCACGTATGTCGATAGAGGAACCACACCCTGCTCCACTCTGATTTATTATATATTGCGCCGATGAGAGAGTCAGGGGTCAAGAATTTATTGTCGTCAAAATAAATAAGGATACATATCCGGTGCCTGGACATTTATTTAATTGATCGAGATGACACAGATATCGACAAAAGAAAGCCCCCGCCCTGTTTCACTCCCTGATTTTCATGTTTCTCTAAAGATGAAGCAAGGGGTCAACAGTATTATTATAGTGGCATCAATGGCACAATCAAATATATCAATACATAAGCGGTACCTGGATAACATTTTAAATGCAATTAAAATACAATTTTGCATGGGATTCCTCAGTAGGGAGTGGAAATCTATGGTTCGATTCTGAATGTCAAGATAGAATATGTCTATGTTTGATGTTTTCGTTTTTTTGAGTAAATTGTTCTTTCTCATATGTCTATTTTCCATTCAAAAACGGTCGCCGCCTTTATCATGCAATGTCCAAAAAACATTACTGTAGTTGATATTTGTAACGATGGGGAGCCATTTGAAAAATGTAAACCAAATACGCGTGTATTCATATGGTCTAAGGTCAGAATCAACAAGCTTATAAAATGGCGGGTAAAATGAATATGTTAACAGTTTAACTGAATTATCCAAAGGCATACCTGGTCTTCAGTCAATACAACCAATCGGGTAACTAAGATGTTTATTGCGTTTCCTATTGTAGCATCGTGGTATAGTTTAGCTACCTGAAAATAAACCAAAATGTTTCTAAATATAATTAAGAATATGAAGGAATCTTGATATATTGGAAGGTCAAGAACGAGGGAGATTTTTGTCCCCTTTTTGGTACAACATTAAATACAGGGTGTCCACAAAAAAGTATACCCAACTTCAAAGCCGGGATACTAGAATTCTGAGCAATTTTTTTGCTACTTTTACTGCTTGCTACAAAGGTAGCAAGACCACGTTTTTATTCCACCAAATGGTACCTAGTTCATTATGTAACTGTCATGGATGACTGAGCAGACAAGTTAGCATTCAAGTAGGATTGACACAGTGAATGTATTTTTGTGTGCAAAACATTATTGATTGTTCTCTTGATCAGCAATGAAACTTCTACATGATGATATGTAGATTTGAATTATCAATTGTATCCCCCATGTAAAGTCAATACACCCTTCCTAGAATCCTCATTTTCACAGAAAAGCTCAAGTTGATTGAGGTGTAGATTCATGTGGGATAGTATTGCTAGAATCCGTTTTCAATAGTTAGAATAGGGGTTCTTAAACAGTACATTGGACTTGCTTTTTGGAACATGTTGTTGGCTCTTATGCTCAGGTCAGTTGAAGCATTTTCAGGCCTATTTTAGAGTAAGTTAAGCTTTTTGCCAAACTTTCTTTCATAAGAGAGTTACTCAGCCCCCAGTCCAGATCAGCATGAAAGGCCTGTCCTCTGACATGATGTTACAGAAAAAGAATACAAGGCCAATTACACTCCAATCTCCACACAGGAAGATAACCTGGCACAGCACTAACTTTACCACCTCTCATAGTGGTCACGATTGTTCAGTCATACATGACAGTTACATAAGCATCTAGGTACCATTTGATGGAGGATAAATTAGGCTTTTTACTGCTCCTTTGTATTTTTAAAAAGATTCTCAGGATTCGAGTAATTTGGTTTTGAAGTTGGGTATATTTTTTGTGGACGCCCTGTACTTCAAATATAACGCCCAGTAAACCTTGTATTTGGATGGTTTGGCAAGTTATGCTTCAATAATAGAATGTTAAATATAAACCACTTACAATGTTTAGAATTGTGAGTATATAAGGTTCGACTTCATCTTGTCCATGATAGTCCACCATAGTTTTGTCAACGACCACCAGGGTCTCCACATGTCGCTCATCACTAACAGATCTCTTCCCTCGCCATCTATTGTCATCGTTGGACACATGATTGGCAAAATAATCATCTTCGTGTTCTTCTGAAGTGGTCTCATCCTTGTGTTTGTTTTTTCTATGTTTGTCATGATGTCTGAACTTTTTATGTGTTTTTGACTTCTGGTTAAATTCTGTTTGGAATCGCGGACCATTTATCCACCAGTTGTCGTCATGGTGTTGTTTGTCCACATCTGAAAGACGTCAATCAAAATAAACCAATTAATGTGCCGTTGTTCTGCATTTTCTCCTTGCAAAAATACCCGATGGAATTAACGCGCAATGCCTTGGGAAAATGGTATTCCATGCATTTTGGACATTATTAAAGGGACTCATCCAGTAAATGCCCCACTACTAGCAAATACATTTTTTCATTTTTATCGCTTTAAACATTTTTATGAGTTCTAAATACCTCGTACATTTAAAAACAATGACTCAATTTCAATCTTTTATTTTTTCATAGACGAAGGTTTGTATCATAAATTATGTAAGATATAGGTTACTACGATTAAATTATTTTTTGTGATCTGAGTTAGAGGTTGACTCACTTTAATGTAAACGAGTACACCCAACAGATTATGGAATACATTGACTTTTTGTCCGTTCATATCAGTATTTCGATGAAAGTTTTATTGTTGTAACACTAATACAATCTGATGGTGTGTCACCGCTATCGTAATAATTTATCAAAAACGTTTTCAAGTCGATGTGATTTGTCAGCGCCTCCCCCACAGTAAACTTGTCCCAATTGATGATGTCACATTTCAATCTGATGTGTCACATTTCAACCTGATGTGTCTAACTTGCTAGTCATAGTGATTGCCATAATTGTATCCCTGCAACGTCATATTAGCTCAACTTAGATTCCCAAATCCCAATGGGCAACATGCAATTACGCCCGTAAAACGTACAAAATATCTGTAGGGGATTGCGATCTTTGCAAAAAACTTCAACAAATCTGTACGATTTTTAATGAGAAAGTTTGCTTTGTATCTTTTTGAACTGCTTGGCTTTTAAGGCATGAGATGTATTGAAAAAGGAGCAACGTCACCAGAATGCGTTTTGGTTTTATCACGCCAAACGTCGAATTTGTTTTTTCATGTGAGACAACAACTCAAAATTCACTCATTGAAACCCAATATGCTGACTGTTTAAGTTGGGTTTTTCTTATCTGAGCCCTTACAATGGCTATCGGTTACTATCAGTATGTTTCAGTTTGTTTTTCTTACTGAGACCCATACTATCGATTTATCAGGTACTTACTATCAATATACTCTGGTTTGTTTTCCTCACCTGAGACCCCACAATGATTATCGGAACACGTTGATTTGTTTTTCTCTTAGACCTCACAATGGCTATTAGTGTCTTTATTATTTTACTCATCTGAGTTTTTTTTACTCATCTGAGGCCCCACGATAACTATCTGCGTACATGTATATTGATTTGTATTTCTCACCCGAGACCCCGAAATGACTATAGCTGCACATTGGTCTGTTTGTCTCACACAATACCTATACCTTGGCCCATTTTCTCAACTATATATTATTATACCCACAATTACTATATTTTTCTGACCAAATGTCTCACAAGACTGTCAGTATAATTTGGTGCATGCTTTTCTTGATCCCAAAATGATTATAGGTGTAGTCTACACTGGTCTGTTTGACTCACTCGAGACCCTGGCTACAATGACTATCTGTGTACTTCAGTTTGTTTATTCTAGTCACACCCCACAATGACTATCGGTAACTTTGGTTTGTATTCTCATTTAATACCCCACAATGATTATATTTTCTTCACCTAATGACCCACAATAATTGTCAGTATATTTGGTTTGCTTTTTCTTACCCGAGACCCCACAATGACTATTGGTATACTTTGGTTTGTATTCTGGTCTAATACCCCACAATGATTATATTTTCTTCACCTAATGCCCCACATTAATTGTCAGTATATTTTGGTTTGCTTTTTCTTACCCGAGACCCCACAATGACTATTGGTATACTTTGGTTTGTATTCTGGTCTAATACCCCACAATGATTATATTTTCTTCACCTAATACCCCACAATAATTGTCAGTATATTTTGGTTTGCTTTTTCTTACCCGAGACCCCACAAAGACTATTGGTATACTTTTGTTTGTATTCTGGTCTAATACCCCACAATGATTATATTTTCTTCACCTAATGCCCCACATTAATTGTCAGTATATTTTGGTTTGCTTTTTCTTACCTGAGACCCCACAATGACTATCGGTATGCTTTGGTTTAAGTGCTGAGCGTTTGTAAACGACATGAAGGTGACCCGCACTGTCAATATCGTTAATGGTGTCGTTCCACAGAGGTTCGACAAAATACTCTTCGTTGTCCGTGGCGAACACACCATGCTGTAAGAAAAGACCAACAATACTAAAGCTCAAACAACGTACCGTGAAATGGAATTGTTTCTAGTTTTATGGGAATATATCAGGTTTTACTTTGGTTCACGTAAGAAATGGTTGACACTTATCATATTGATTAAAGCGATTCTCATGAGTTATATATTTTTGCTTTTAAGTTTACTGGACTTTTATATTTTCATCATTTCGAATTCTTCGAATCAGTTGAATTACGATATGATTTTCTAAAATAAGGAAGTGTTCAACATATATCATATTGCAATATTTTTAGATCAACTTAAGAGTATTTTATTGATTGTATTCTGACTCCACAAGATACAGACATAACATATCAACTGATGGGGGGACAAGATAAGATAACCACTGCTCATCAAAGAACCTTCGATTTCCCCGAACGCTGTCACGTATGTAATGTAAAAACACGTGCATTAATGAATGAATGGTCAATATGGATGCCCCGGGAAACGGAAAAGCGAAGGTAAACAACTATGATTTAGTTCAAAACTTTCAAAATCAATTGTAATATTTTGGACGGGTAGTGATAAGATCAAAAGTAAAAGATGAAGATGACATCAAAAGAGCTTAACTACGAAACCAAACCTTTTTGGCAAAGGAGTAATATAGTCAGATAGTAGGTGGTTTTTATTCACTTTCTGTTTTCGAGTATTTGCGGTTAGGTCATAGTGTGTTGTTTTACCTTTGGGGTAAATGCGGTGAGTTCCCACAAAATGTTATAGTCAAACAGGATACCGCAAACATTATGTTTTGAGTTGTATCAAAATCCTGCTTAGATCTATCGTATTTAACTTTCAAGGTAAGTTAGTGGTAAATATTCAGCTCACTTACATGATAACCCCATTCCTTAACCAGACAAGTGCCTCGCTTTACTTTTATGCAGTGTTTTAAATTTTAGCCTTTGGATATGAGTTTTAAAAAGCGTCCGCAAGGAGAGTGACATCAGGATGCAAGTTCGTAGATTGATCACGTGTCAATTTTGCCATTTTTGTGCCCATCTTAGGTGATGTTTTGAGGCCATTGTTTATAATATATTTCAAACTTGATTTGCATTTGGCATTGCCTGGGTTTGGTTTTAGTTTGTGTTAGCTAATGTTGCCATTTGTGGTCTAAAGTAGTGACGACACAGGAGCTATTACATTTTAAATATTTAGTGATTATCCTAATGTTTTCATTTCCCCATCATGTATACACGTTACTTATTGCAACCAATGACCTTACATTTCACAAATGGGGCGATTTTTTTTATCTCAACATGTGATTCTGAAGTGGTTCTTCAATCACACCTCCGGAAATCTTTATCACAAAGATCTTATACTACGTAGTATAAGAAATAAACATTACATATTTGATATGCTAAAGATTTGACCACTTGTTAACATCCTTTTTACGACGCAAAACAAAATTTCGACATTTCTGCATTTAACAATCTTAGCAAATTAACACTATTATAAAAATGGTCATAGGAAGAAAAGACCTATCAAAACGTTCATTTTTGGTAAAATAGGTCGATGGGAGTTTAGTATTTTTATTTTAGGTTTGGGGTCACAAAAGGACACGTCGGGAAACACATCCAGACCCTCAGTCGAAACAATATAAATGTCACTTTGACATCTCAAGCTGTCATTATCGGGGCCATTAATGAAATGTAAATGAAATGATAAACTCCCTTAGGAAAATGTCGCACTGTGTTTTTTTAATTTATGAATGAGAGTGTGAGAGTTGTAAAAATGTTGGTCGCAGTTCTTTGTTCGTTTTTTTCATTCATTAAAAGTGAATAAACAGTTGAATACGATCCACTTGTAAACGTGCCCAGTGCAAAATGAACTACTTTTGTAAATGATGAAAGACGCATATTGAAACGATGTGTGTCTATGTAAAGACCTCCCATTAGATGAGCATTGGGAAATTGACTGGGCAATTTTGGGCAAACTAAAACAGGAACTAAATCGTAATCTAGTGATATAAGTGCATGTGATACCTTTTTTAGTTCTGGGTATCTTTGACAAACTCTTTGAATACGTAAAGCATTATACAATATATATATCTTTCCTCACTTAGCTGTTTGCGGATCAAGCCTGCGTTGGTGGCTAGATTTTTAACCATTTCTTGTTGGTAAATCCATTCAGATTTGCCAGATTTCCTACTTAGCTTTTTATCTGACTCTTGCGATAGCTTCAGGAAATATTAGAAGCAGCGGGTGGATACCACAATGGGCAAGATCGTTGCTGACTGATCTGATAAGATAAATGGAAATAGGTGAATACAGCATTCTGCAATGAGTATCAGATTGGGCATACGTAATAAGCTTATACTTACCAAGCCAAAACAATTACTTAGGGCTACACTCGATGTCCTTTTGGTTTGTATATGTCCAAAATAATGACAGTCTCTTAAATGCGAATGCGTCCTATCTATGAATTCATTTCCTTTCCAATATTCAACCTCATATTTTTTCGATATCAAATTATGATTTAGAGACAAGTTAAAATGGAATTCTTGACCATAGGCGGTAAGTTTGTAGTATATCCAGTTTTCGCTGTAGGAATGGATGTAATAAGGGCTATTTGCGCTCCGTTTGTGTCTTTCGAGACTTGTATGTTCAACATCATAACTGACAAATCCCCCATGGGAATCTGTCAGAACTGGGACGGTTATTTCATAGTTCTTTAAGTGCTCTAGAATGTTGTCTGAAAAACACAAATGAAAATTCTTTAGTACTTAACATTATTTTTTTTCTCCATATTTGGAAATACAATTATATTAAAAATGAATATATAAGAGAGTAAAAGAACAAAACAGAAAGTATGAAGATATATCTACTACTAGGTCAATACCACTAATATCCACAATGTGAGAGTACCCCTAACCCCTGTTGGCTCATGGACTCCCATGCATTCATGTAATATAAGAGAGCTTCGTCAAGTTTATTTTAAACTCTGCGCTCGGGTATGCAAAAAGTAATTAATTAAAGGTAAGCTTGTATCTTTTAGAGACTGATCACCTGAACAAAATATTTAGCATATTCTAAGCAAGAATAGATCATGGAATTAGAAGTTGATTTTGCCCTTTGGTGTTCATATTTCATTGTCAGTGAATCATAGACTAAACGTTCTGCATGTATTTTTAACTCATTTCCTACAATTAATGTAATATTTCCACAAGGGATGAATATACACCCTCAAAAGAATCTTTGAAATTGTTGAGATATTGTTTTGGTTGGAGAAATAACTTCCTGGAGTCTTGGAATTCCTGATTCAAGGTTAAGAACATACAATACCAGGCCACCAGTAGGCCGGGAGCGATTGTGTTTTCATGTAACATATAGGTCTACAATTATCGCACGCCCACCAAAGCATGATCATTATTGATAAGAATATTCTCCCATTAAAAATAAAAATGTTGCATCAAGTCTACCCACCTCCCATGTATGTTACCTTATAGGAAAAAAGCTCCGAAAGTCGTCCCAACAGATTTTCAAAATATTCATCTTTGGAAAAATTGCAGCATTATAAAAAAATATGTGATTCATTTCAAAAATTTTGTAGTGGACGATGATGGTTTAGTTTTTGTATTTGTTATTTATGTGGGTCTTGTGTTTTCTTGGTTTGCTTTGCGGATTGTAGGTGTCTGACCCTAAATACACAACACCTTGGGACATACTTATGCCGCCACATCTGTATTATTTCAAGTGAATATTCCCCTACAGTTTCCATAGAGACAAAATATATTTCCATCAAAAGCATGAAATGTTGATTGTGCAACAGAAACTATTCACTCGCATGGTCTTGTTAAAGGCGACTGACATAGCTAGCGGAAAATGGGTAATGTAAAGATCTAGCAAGGGTACAACCCACATCCATCAACCTTTCAAATAGTAGTAAACCATTCTACAATACTGTGTACTTGGAGCACATTACCTTAGTATGTAGAAGTATATCTATGTATCTCTCGCTGTAAATGTCAGAGTTTGGGCATTTTGCCTGAACACATTTCTTATTTTGTTTAACAAGTACAGTTTGCAGAGTCTAGACGATATTGATGGCCCGACCTGGTGGCAACGTTAACCCATGTGCTGTAATTAATACAGTACTCTTAATCGCTTGTTATCATTCTAAAATAATGAAAAAATATATTTACCTGTATTCTGGCGGACCCTGAACGGGCTATTGAGAAGATGTCGTATAGTTCCAGCATGTTGTGGCGACGACTGTGATTGTTCTGATTGTGTTTTATCTTCTAGAGGTATTCCTGTTGTTAATATCCATATACAACTCAAATAGCAAACTTTGAATAAGTTCTGTGCTTCCATACTCCTCGGTTCCAATTTTTCATATTAATGATTCTCGAGAAGTGAATATATTCATATTACCATATCACGCGTCTTAAACAAAGTGTTGCTCGTTACCGCATTGTGTTCTGGTACATAAACGCCTCTGGGAAACTCTTAAAAAACTACTTCACAATAATCCATAATCTTCAAGTGTTCACATGTCAACTCAGTCAATTTTCTTGAATTTTCCATTTGTGTAACTATATACGAAAAATGAGCTGCTCCTTATCAAGATCCGTATTTCTGGATAGATATACCAGCACAATGGTTTGCCCAGAGCTTCAGTGATGAGTTCAGTTTCCTGGTTTCCGCTAATATATCTACACTCCTCTGGGCTTGTATCTACCTGTGCACTGACGGTTCTATGAGGCAGCTGGCTAGAAATATATGTTCTTTTGGGCTACCCAAACAAAAAAGCTTTTATCAGACCAGTTATACATGACGTAGTACTCTTTCCTATCTGTTTATTTTAAAGTACAAACTGACAAATGACTCTGCGTTTAATATTTTGGTTTAATTAATTTAGCCCTTTTTTAGAGATCGTTTGTTTTGACGATTGCTTATTTGCTAGCTCACTAGGATAGTTGTCCCGCACAGGACACACTTATAACAAAAAATAGTTTTGATAAAATCAACTTTGAGCCATTATCATAACAGAGTATGACACTGGTACTACTCATACAGGGTGAAATCAGTTCATATAGACTTGGAAGTTTTTATTTAAATTATTAATCTTATTTGATCACACCGTAGGATAAATAACATATTGAATTATATGTGAGCATACATGGTTTAATATTCTTGCTTTAGCATTAATGGATTCTTCGTGTTGATTTTTTACTATGGTGATGACAAGAAACTGGAATTTCCATTCTAATGAGTAATTATGGAAATGGTGTTCCTTAACACTTATAGGAGCAGTATATTGAAACATCTTTTCAGTTGTATAGCTTTAAAACAGTCAATTGACTATCGACTGATTTTACTTTATTGTCCTACGCTTTATTGGTTTCAGAAATATTACTGAAGAAACCTACTGGAGACTGTCGTCATACATTGTCATTAGTCTGATATACTGACACTTTTCCTATAACATGATATACAGGTCAATATGACTATTTCATTTTGGTCATTTTAAACTATTGCACACAATGGTTGATCATTATCAATTTAGTGACTATAAAAGTTGTACCTTAAACATATACAAACAAAGAGGTGGGATCATTGTATCTAAAATTGAGGATTTTATCAATTAAAAGCGTTTTTCAGCGTTCGTTTGGGTGTCTTGTATAGTATCATTGATCTTTTCACAAACCATTAATTCGAATCACTGTTCAAGACTACTAATTAGATGAATGAATTATATTTGAGAAAGTATGTTTCACAAAGGTTACACACCATTGATCCATACACATATATCCATACAGGGTGGGCCAAAGAATTTCTGAAAAATAAAGGTAAACAGACATTAGGGATCTGACAATATACAGTTTTCAGGATGATATACGAAGCAACAATTTCACACTGACATTAGTCATGTTTCAAATTATATTACGAGATTAACATAGGGTGTTCAGTATATTCTGAAATGGTTTCTAGACAAGAAATGGGATATTAGAAGTATCATAAAACACATAAGTAAGATGCATTATTGAAAAGGTAATGGCATAAATATCGAGTTTTTTGCCCACCCTGTACATGAAATTATAGTAAAAGCGAACAGTGTATTCAATACATCTATAGGCAACACTTTCAGGGTCGTGTTAAGTTTACCTATTTGTGTTTGCTTCCGACAAGTTTTGTTTATGGGCAACATTTGCGAACCATTTCACATATTATTCGAAAAAGTTCACTGTTTCTCTGCTCATAAAAATAGATTTACACACACGTTGTTTATTTGTTATAGTATCAGCGTCTGTGAAATATCTAGAAGAATCGAAGAATTTTAAGAAGATAAGCATTGAAGAGAAATTAGAATTTTTCACCTTTAATGTCAGCTTCAAAAACAATTTAGAGGTCATTAACTCATCCAAGGCTCCACGTAACATAATTCAAAGGTCTGTATCATTCCAGTGAACCCGGAACTGTTTCCCTTGGGTGTGGATAGTCATAAATTAACGAGGGAATTATATGATCATGCGTGAATCAGTTCAGAAAAATATTTGCTAAGTTGATGACGTTAAACGTCGATCTGGTTTCGATGGAACATTAAGTACTTCTGGCCTGCAAGCAAAATGCTTGGACTAAGTTCAAAATGCATCAAGTGCAAATTAACGAACTTGATCCAGGAAAAACGTAACTAGGATTGTTTTTCAGCAGTCTAAAATTCCATGTAACTGTTTAATCATTGTCGATTTCATGATTTCTGTTAAATTTTAACACAGTAATATGACTGAATACCAATATCACATTTCTTCCACTTAAAATGCAATAGATCTCATCTCGAGGGTTAGTTTGTAAAGTAACTGTTTGAAGCATCAGTGATGCAAACTCAGGAGAGATCACAGTCAGTTTTATTTATTCAAAGATAAATACAAAAACCTGATAGAGGATGTTATTTTATCAGCAGGGATTGAGCTAGGTGAACCACTGACTTCCGTCAAGTTACTATTTTCTTTCAGTTCAATTATGTGTACCTTTACTGTGGCCAGATTTGGCGCATCCTGCTGTAGTAATACGTGAATTCTTTCAGGCTAGTTTTGAGGACATCCGGATCCGCATATTACCATTCTGATATTCATCACAACTTTCTGTTTTTTAACTAGAAATGTGATTGACTAAAAGAAAACGAGATGACAGGTGACGGCATATCATCTTTTTTGATCAATCTTCTTAAAGACTCTTGTGTTACTGAAACTTTTTTAGAAATCTATATGCATCACAAGTGGTCGCACAGTTGGGGTATAAATAAAAAAGAGAACGTGTAGATTTATAGTCTTCCAAGAATGAAAGAAGTTCTCCCATTCGTAGTAAATTTTCTCGTCCACGGTTCCAATAGACTAAGAGTGTCAGCTTTAAGAATCTAACCAACATTCGAATTTTCCCTGAATGCAAATAGATAATATTAACGCTTTCATCACCAAGGGTTAAAATTAAGAAATCAATCATGTTTTTTTCAATCAAAATGTATTGACAATCAGTTTCTATGTTCAACCTAAAATTCCATAACAATGATGTTTTAACAATAATTATGATGTTTTAACGTAGTAGTTCAATACATTTTCTCTGAAATTACCACCCAAATATCCATGAAAACAATGCCAAGTTTCTTTTTACATCGTCATTTCTCATTGATTTGATCCAAGTTTGCGCTACTACATTCTGACGATTGGAGGTCGCTTAAATATAGACTTAGATATCCAACACCACCTGGAACAGGTACAAATTCATATTAAGGAAATACATATTCTCATAAATTTGTTTCTCTATAACTTTGATTTACAATCCAGATAAACTACTCGAGAATAACTTGCCTAATAATTGAACATGATATTTCATAATGAACCCTCATTCTTTTCCTTGATTTATGTATGCTGTTATGCCTAATAATATGGATTAAAAGGATGTTTTTTCTTTCAATAACTTTGAGATGTATTCTCAGCATCTATCAAATATTGTAATTGGTACATAACTATAGATTATATTATTCTGTGGCATGGTTATCACAGCTGTTAGCAGGGTTATCACAGCTGTTAGCAGGGTACAAGGCTAATCCTTCAAATGTGGCACTCAGACCATGCTAACAGGTCAAACGAGTGCCTTTTGTCAGTAGAGATATGTAACAAGATGCAAAAGTGTTTCATATGCAAGTAACATATTGGGGTTTGTTGTGAAGGATTAGCATGCGCAGTGGTTGTTAGGGGTGGTCGTTTTGAACCACCCTGTACTAATATATCCACGTGTGTTTGTTTACATTGGGAGATTAACAAATCCCTTTATTCAAAAGCACTTCTCTACGTTTTGGCTTTGGCTCAAATTTCGTTTGCATAAAAATAGTATATACTTCCTCAAAATCTTTTGTTTGCTTTAAAAAGCTTAGAAACCGAGGTGATGAATAATTCGATGACGTCCCTTTTGAAGATGACTTCTCAGATGACTAACACTTTTTGAAGTCCATTTATCTTTTTCATTCTTACAAAGAGATACACTGCTTAAAAACTCTATATTCACTTAATACAATTACTCTTTTCTTTCATGCGAACAATGTATTTATTTTTTACACACATCCACAAAGAGCTGCCTTTATATAGACAACAAAGACTATCCTATCTAAAATAATACATTTCCGCTGTTTGCCCACAATAAACAAAACATATTCACCAACAAGCCATTACTTTGATGACAACACTTCTTAGTTGAAAGAGATATATGGTATGAGTGTTTAAATCTTTTAACTGTTACTTTTACAATCTGAATGGTTAAAACCTCATTTAAAAGGTAATATTTTTCTTAAACTGCTTATTAATAATCCGTATAACAGTACGGTTGTTCATGTCATACAAAGCATCGGTGTGCCCTTTATATTACAGGTGACAACATTATATATGGGGTATTATTCTTTCATTTCTATCTACCCAGTCATTTTCTGTTGAACGATTATTTTTTCTAAAAAAGTACTGTTATTTAACTCATGTAAGGAAAACGCGGCATTGCTCCCAGTCTTTAGTGCAAGCATACCTACATACAAGGCTGACATCTATATTATTTTCAAAAAGATATTTTTAATGTTGATGGGGACACTTTACGATGGTGAACCATCAACAATTCCAAAAATTCATGTTATCATGATATCGGGGATATAAAGTCATCACGTGTCTGTTTTTGCGCAAAACTGATTTCATTTTCAGAGTAGAAAGTTTACGTCACGTGACATGACGTGTGTGGTTGAAACAATTTGCCGCAAAATACGATTTTGTTAAAAATGAAACCCTGGCTTTGAAAAAGTCATTCGCTTTTATGTTGAGACTCTCCGTCAAATTCCAACCCCTAGGGGAATATTGCGAATCTCTCGGCGCTCTCTCTCTCGCGCGCAAACTTTTGAATGGTGAACGTGTAAGATATTGTAACGAAAAAAATACGTTTAGCTACAAGCCCTCGTAACCCGACCCACTTTACTTGACTGCAAAATATGTAGTGGGTGGGGGAGGGGGTCACAAGGGGTTGTAGCTAGACTAATATTTATATCAGTATTAGAAACGATGTGTTTCCAAGGTTTTTTTCAAGTTCAACCATAAGAGATGAAGGCTTCATGTAGAATCAGGCAGAATTAGTAATTTCATTCTCTGCTACTCTTCCCATTAGAGTTGACACTAACAACTTACTCCTTATTACCATGAAGTTTAATCATATGTTGAAACGTTTTATT